TGAAAGTTTCACTTTGCCTTTGCCTTTAAATTCTGTCCTTTTATAGCATGATGAACATTTTATTAGACTTTAGCATTTGTTTTTAACATACTTACTTTTCCCCATTGTTAAATAAAATATACTTTCGCTTAAGATTTAATTAAAAGTTTTTTTTGGGGGGGAGGTGGGATGATAGTAGCACATGCTTGTACTAGACAATACAAAAATGAAGATACAAATCACTCCCAATCCCACCCACTAGGCGGTGCATCCCCCCATATTCCGTGGGCTCATACTGTATGTCACTTTGTGTCCCACTGTTTCATTGCCTGTGCCACTCTTACAATGATTTTTAGCGCTGTCCTAGTATTCCAACATCTTCATGGACTATAATTTGAACATATTCTTATTGTAGAACATGCATTTCCAAGTCGTCACTGTACTGATGAGCATGCTTGCACGCTGTTGGTGCTGGGCAGAATAATGACCCTTGTCATTCACCTCCTAGACTCTCATCACCTCCTTCAATACACCTCCCTCCAGAATGGTGAGGACACCAGGGACAGTTGCTAGACAGACTCAGGTTCACACTCTCTCCTTGTCTGACTGGTCCCATGGCATTTTGCACATCTGACCTCTCGGCCTCTTGGCTTCCTCCTACCCTGTCAGCGGTTCCTCTCAGTCTACTCTGCTCCTGCCTCCTCTTCTCCACTTCTACACATGAGGGTGTCCAGGCTCAGACCTCAAAATTCTTCTTCTTTCCAAGAGGCCTCATTCACTCCCATCGCCTTAATACCATCAAGAGGCTGAAGATGTCCCAGTGGGTGTCCCCAGCCCTAAACTTCACCAGCTTCAAATCTGCAGATGCAACTGCCTGTGTGACTTCTCCACTTCACACGGTCCAACTCGGAACACCTGCCCCTGCCTCCAACCGGACCCTCCCCAAACGCTCTGCTCTCATCAACAGCATCACCTTGACTCGGCTCTCAGGGCCCCATCAACTCAACTCCACCCCACCAATCAGCATGTTTGCTTATAACAAACCAATTCTCCCCGTCATCTCCACTGTGGCCGCGGATGTCTAGTCGGTGTTACTGTTACCTCTGCACCCAAAGAACCTTTTCTCTATTCAGCTGGCAGTGATTTCTTTGAACCTCAAATCAGATAACATTTTTCTCTCCTAAAATGCTCCCGTGGCTTCCCAGCACACCTTGAGTAAATCCCATCCTCTTGTCGGTGGCCTACAAGGCCTTATGAGGGCAGCCTCTGCCCACTTCCAGGGCCTCACCTCTTTCCCCTGTGGCCCTTGCTCTCCAGGCCCCAGCCACACGGGCCTCCTGCCCCAGGGCCTTGGCACCTGCCCTTTCCCGGGCAGCAATGCTTTGCCTGTTGATCTTGGCACAGCTGGTTCTTTCTTGCTGTGCAAGTTTTAGCTCTTTGAGGTAAATGGGGATGAAAGGGGGAGTTTGTAATACTTTAAACAATAAAGATAAAAACAAAACAAATTAATACTTAAAGAAGGAAAAGAAAATTGATTTTTTTAAAAAAAGCTTTACTTCTTTAGACTTTCCCTGACCACCTGTTGCCCCTCCCCCATTTATCACATCACCATTTCATGGCCCTCAGAGCATGCAGCAGTGTCCAAAACATTCCTTGAATCTTTTGCTTGTGTCTTTTCTGTCCCTCTTTCTGGAATGTGCCAGCAGAGCAGGATCTAGTCTGTCCTGTTCGCCAGTGAAGGGCCCCTGGGACTGGTCCCAGCTCCTAGACGGTACTCAGTAAATATTTTAAACCAAGAAAAACTCCCAGTTTCCCCATCATTGAGTTTGGCCTTAGGACTAAAGGTAATATTCCAGTAAAAGTGAAGGTTTGTACTTTCTTCTGTATTCAGTGGAAGGACTTGTTTGGGTTTCTCATGTTTTCCTGACGGGGAATTGAGGGATCAATGAAAGTAGGAAAGTGAATTGGATCAATGAGCACAACATACATCTAAGGCAGCGGTTCTCAACCTGTGGGTTGCGGCCCCTTTGGCGGTCGAATGACCCTTTCACAGGGGTCGCCTAAGACCATCCTGCATATCAGATAGTTACATTACGATTCATAACAGTAGCAACATTACAGTTATGAAGTAGCAACAAAAATAATTTTATGGTTGGGTCACAACATGAGGAACTGTATTTAAAGGGCCAGAAGGTTAAGAATCACTGATCTAAGGCCTCATATGCTCCCCAGCGGGAAAGTTTTGAATTTTATACTGAACATGAATTATTTTCTTTTTTGTGGTAAAACATACATTACACAAAACTTACCATTTTGATTATATGTACAATTTGGTGACATAAAGTACATTGGCATTGTTGTGCAACCATCACCACCATCCACCTCCAGAACTTTTTTTTTCAAACCTTTTCAAACAAAAACTGTACACATTAAACCAGGGGTCCTCAAACTTTTTAAACAGGGGGCCAGTTCACTGTCCCTCAGACCGTTGGAGGGCCGGACTATAGTTTTTTAAAAAACTCTGAACAAATTCCTATGCACACCGCACATATCTTATTTTGAAGTAAAAAAACAAAACGGGAACAAATACAATATTTGTATTTGCACGTGGCCCGTGGGCCGTAGTTTGAGGACCCCTGCCTTAAACAATCACTCCCCATTTCCCCCTCCTCCCCGCAGCCCCTGGTAACCGCCGTGGTACTTTCTGTCTCTATGAAGCTGACCGTACTACGTACCTCACAGAAGTAGAACCGTAAGGCATTTGTTCATTGACTGGCTTATTTCACTGAGTAGAATGTTTTCATGGTACATACACATCGTAGTACATACAGAATTTCCTTTCTTTTTAATTTGATTTTACAGAGAGGAAGGGAGAGAGGAAGTGGGGAGGGAGGGAGAGAAAGAGAAAGGGGAGAGAGAGGGGGAGAGAGAGAGAGAGAGAGAGAGAGAGAGAGAGAGAGAGAGAGAGAGAGAGAGGAGAGAAACATCAATTTGGTGTTCCACTTATATATGCATTCACTGGCTGATGGTTGTATGTGTCCTGACTGGGGCTCCAATCCACAACCTTGGCATATCAGGATGACACTCTAACCAACTGAGCTACCTGGCCAGGGCCAGAATTTCCTTCCTCTTTTTTTTGTTAATCATCACCCAAGGATATTTTTCCCACTGATTTTTAGAGTGGAAGGGAACTGGGGAAGAGAGAGAGAGAGAGAGAGAGAGAGAGAGAGAGAGAGAGAGAGAGAGAGAGAGAGAGAAACATCAATCTGAAGGGAGACACATTGATTGGCTGTCTCCCACACATGCCCCGACAAGACCAGGATCGAACCTGTAACCCAGGTATGTGCCCTTGTCAGGGAATCAAACCCGTGACCCTTTGGTGCATGGGCTGACACTAACCACTGAACTACACCAGCCAGGAAGAATTTCCTTCCTTTTTGAGGCTCAATATCCCATTATATGTACTTATCATGTTTTCTTTATCCATACATCCATCAGTGGGTATCTAGGCCAGCGGTTGCCAACCGGTGGTCCATGAGGTCCGAAAGGTTGGCTACCGCTGATCTAGGCTGTTTCCACCTTTCGGCTGTTGGGTATAATGCTGCTATGAACACAGAAGCACAAACCTTTATTCAAGTCCCTGCTAACAATTCTTTTGGGCCTATACCTAGAACCTAAACTATTTTTAACATTATTCAGTATTGGGGGCTTCACCCGCATCACGATTCTAACTTGGCAGCCCGAGAGGTTTCTAGTGTCCTGGCATGCTTGCGGGTGCGCCTTGCTGAGGGCAGTCCCGGATATACAACATGCTAGCCCTCCTTTGTGCCAGGCGCCCACACACCCCGTGGCAAAGCGAAATCAACTCAAAGCAAGTAAACCCAGCAGTCCACTCAAAACTATCTCCTAGAGAATTTCCAACAAAGAAGAAACAAAATGCAGCAAGGAGAGATTTTTATTAAAAGTTAAAAACATTTTCAAAATTTACACACGCCGACAGAGAAGTCCACCACCCCAGGGACTGCTCGAGTCACGGATGAGCAGACACAAGCCAGCCTGGCAGGCATGCACCCGACCTGACCCTGAGGGCCTGTATTTGGAGTAAGGCTGCTCACTCAGGGAAACCAAATGCTACTGGAAAGTCCCTGCTGCTGTCCCGCCCAGTGACTGCCCTAATGGAGGGGCGGGACATTCTGGCCAGACCTGGACAGGCAGAACAGGGTTAGGCTCGCCTCTTCACCCCCGTGGCCACCAGGACCAGAGAGAACCACCCTTCTCCCTGAGCTGAGTCCCCAGGCAAGCTACTGGCTGCTCAGCTGGGCTCTCCCAGTCAGCAGTTCTCAACCCCGCCTGCATGCTACAATCAATGGAGACCTTGGAAAGAAAGATGCTGATTGCCCTAACAGGTTTGGCTCAGTGGATAGAGCGTCGGCCTGCGGACTCAAGGGTCCCAGGTTCGATTCTGGTCAAGGGCATGTAACTTGGTTGCGGGCACATCCCCAGTTAGGGGTGTGCAGAAGGCAGCTGATTGATGTTTCTCTCTCATTGATGTTTCTAACTCTCTATCCCTCTCCCTTCTTCTCTGTAAAAAATCAATAAAATAAATTAAAAAAAAAAAAGAAACGAAGATGCTGATCGCCTGGTATACTGGTCAGTGACATAAGAATATCTGGGAATGTCACCTTACCGACTTCATTGTTTGCAAGCTGCCTTGGGGTTCTGACGTGCATGGGGGCGGGGGGAGGGGGAGAGAGATACACAGCAGCCACTTCTATCCCAGTTCCCACCTTCCCAAAAGCCTTCCTTGTCCTGACTGAAAGCATTTGGCATGTTGGACACACTCCTTGAGGTATAAAGTAATGACATATGGATGCTTAGTTTCTACTACTGATTTGTGAAGGGTAAAAAAAAAAAAAAAAGAACGCACCCAGATTTCATTAAAAAAAGTTTATTTTCATATAAAAGTGCCAAAATATCCACCAATGTTGTAATCTATCTCAAGAACCAGTTTACGCTAGTCATCAAAACACAAGCCTCTTTATTCACATTGTTTAAAAATCAAACGCTTCTCACACATTCCCACAGTAGCTCGAGTCCCTAGACAGTGGGAAATTCGCGTTCCTATTGGCCGTGGTAGTCCATATGTCCAGGTTCATGTAGGCACGAAACGGGTTGAACCCCGGGTAGTATTCCTTGCACATGACCGCCGGGTTCTCCATGTGAGTCGAATGTTCCGTGGTGGGGCTGATGGGGCAGCAATTTTCATACACATCGCTTTGCGGGGCCCAGATGGAACCAAAAAGTCCAGACATTGGAGATAAGCTTCGGGTGCTTGTGAGGTAGGGCTGATGTAAAGGAGGAGGGGGAAAGGAGATGTTTTTTAAAAAAAGAAATATATTTTTTTAAAAGTCTTAGAAAGGCAACGTCAAGGTTGAATGTATAGATACTGCAATGGTATCCATCCAAGTCACTTGGGCGCTATTAAACTATTCTCAACCATCCATGTTGCTTTAACTCCATTTTCCTCAAATGCAGGGTTGTGAAATCCTCATCTAACTGGGTAAACTTACTTTCAACCCAAGCAAGGACCCACAGCTGAAATGTCCTCTCTGTAAAAATCTGCTGAGTGGCTCTGAAAGGGGGAAGGCGTAGGACTTTTAAGCACGGAGGCTCGGACGGGCGTTCATAGGCAGGAAGCCCTCAGGACCCCGCCGCTGACCACTGACACCTTTCTGTGACGTTCATTTCATCTCTGGTCACAGATGAAAAGGTTAGCGGGGCCACAGAAACACAGCTATGGCCCCAATTCAACGTTCCCACAAGCCATCACTGCTGGTGTAGCTTGGAAGTGGCTAGCATGCCAATGTCGGCAAGCCCCGCCTGTCTGATTATGTGTGAGGTTCCCTCAGAGGGTGGGCTCCTCTGATCTAAAGCAGGGGTGGGGAACGTCTGGCCCGAGGGCCGTATAAGGCCCGAGAAATCATTTGGTCTGGCCCTGCCAAGGCATTAAGGGTGAGTTCGTTAAATGTTTGGCCAAATATAACGGGCTAATTCTTAAGTTGGTCATTTTGTATGAGTCCTCAAATGATGTTATAAATATCCAAATGGCCCTTGGGAGGAAAAAGGCCCCCCCACCCCTGACCTAAAGGAAGCAAGCCTGGGTTTAGGTGATCCGAACCCAACTCTATTGCTACATGAGACCAGGATTAAAAAAACAGCAAGAAACTGGAGGTGCCCCAGGGCCACAGCGAGGGCTGGGCAGCACTGACCGGATTGCTGACGAGACCAGGGTGTCCCCAGGCGGTCGGCATGTTGGGCGGGGTGTTCCAGGTAGACTGCGAGTTGTGATCAATAAAGTCTGTCTGAATTTCAGCAGGACACGGGAAGCCATTGGGGTAATTCATGTTTTCTACAAAGAACGGGAGACATCAACGCAGGTAAACATTTTTATGAGGCAAACTGAATTCTCACTCTCAGCAAAAAGACTCTCAAGGCCTTCCTTACTTTATGGACAGGCTAAAGACAGACATAGCATACTCACTCTGTGTGAACCGGGAGTTCCACTGCCACTCTCAGGTTTAAAACTGTTTATCAGACACATCACCTGGAAGCCCTCAGGGAAGGTCTACCTCTGGGCTTATGTCCTATATATTTGATGATTTGATGGGATCTTTCTGATACACAGGATGCACTATTCTACTACTACAGATGTGAATCACGTCAAGCTTCTTACCAGCCCTTAAAAATTTTATTACCTATCATGCCAACCTCAGCCACCTGCATATATACCATAGGGACTGACAACGGCAATACCAAGCCAAGCACTTAGCTAAGAAGATAATACACACAAGCCTCAGAAGCATAGGAAGAAAGCTACCACGGCACCCCCTTGTGGTTAACATAGAGCAATGCATGTATCAAAACCCACATTAGTGCAATATCTAATATACCGCTTACTGTGTCTCTGCAAATTTAGCTCAGTATGACAAATCATGAGTGTTCTGTAACGTACAGTAAGAGAATTTTCCAGCTTATCAGGGGAATCTTATATCTCTTATTGTTTATTACAACAGATGCTTGAGCCCAAGCACTGGCAATTTCCCACCATTTTCCCTCCAAGCTTCTTTCCTTCTGCAGCACCACCGGGGCAGAGCATCAGGACATGCTGAGGAGCAAGCAGGGAGAGGTTCTATTTCACGTGGCCTGGCTGCCCAAGAAGAGGAGCCGACCACTAGCGCCCCGGCCTCCCATGGGGAATCCACAATGTCAGGTCCACATAAAGCCAATGACCTGGTTCTCTCTTCGGGTGACTGGTAGAAGCCCCCAGATACCCAGGTGTACAGGGCTTTTTGAGGCCACAGAAAATTATATATGGCAGGGTATGCATAACTAGACCCACACAAAAGCCGTCAGCAGCCTCCTGCAAGGTCATTCTCAAAGGCCACTCAATGTTAAAGGCACACTCTTAACAACAATAAGATAAACAAATAAACAACCATCAAAAATAAAAACAAGCTCATGAATACAGCGGACCTTCTGCTGGTTGCCAGAGGTGGGGGTGGGGGAATAAGCAAAACAGTTCAGGGGCTTGCGAAGTACAAACTTCCAGGGATAAGATAAACCAGTCCTGGGCTGTCATGTACAGCATGGTACTGTAATTAATACTGTATTGTATATTAGAAGTCGCTAAGAGAGTAAAGCTTAAAAGTTCTCACCACAAGAAAAGAAAACTATAACTATGCATGGTGAGGGATGTTAACTAGACGTTGGGTGGTGATCATTTCTCAATATACACAAAGGTCGAATTATGATGCTGTACACCTGACACGAATATAATGTTATGTCAACTACATCTAATTTTTTTAAGACACATGCTTCTGCAGTGAGTGCCTTAAGGCCAAACACTTCCTGCTTGGACTTTCTGAGAATAAAAGAATGGCACTGGGCTTGTTCAAACAGCTTTTACCTTCCGGAAAGGCATTGTAATCGTTCAATTCCAACGGACAGTACACACTGGGGAACTGGCCTTCGCAAGTTGCACTCCAATCAATGAAACTGCTACAAAAACAAAAACAAAAACAAGAGGTCTCGTTTCAGAAACAGGGTGTCAACAGATCAAGTAAAGAAAGAAGAAAGCAATTGTATTGCCCAGCATCCTGATCACTGCTAAATCCTCAACTTGGGGAAATAAAAGATATACTTTCTCCAGTCACAGGATCAAAGGTTCACTTAACGCTCATCACCGATGACATTCCATGGCAGGACAGACGCTCGGACGAGGAGCACACTCCCTGCATAACCAGGATACGTAACCAGAGGCAGAACTAGGCCGTGGTGATCAGCACTGAGGAAGAGCCACTGGCCTACCTGAAGCGTCTTAACTCACATCGGAAGGACTTACACACGTCCTGCTGTGCAAATGTCCACCCCTCATGCAGAGCAGGGCCAGCATTCGCCTTGGGTAAATCACGACTACAAAGACCACGACTCATGATACGCTGATCACTGTTATCAACTGGGTTCTCATTCCAGAAACAAGAAAGTAAATACCACTGTAATCAGCTGACCTCCACCCAAAAAGAAGTCAAATGGATTCTGTGGCGAAACACAGATAATACACAGTTTCTCAAGGTTTCATAATTTAATGACACAGTCACAGCCATGAACAAATTCAGGGAACGGCCATTATATAACTATTTTTTAATACTCAAATTATTTTGACCTTTTAAAAATGTGACTGTGTTCAAGATTCATAGCATGAAAAAATGGAAATCTTTGCACTGTTGGGGGGGTAGGAATTAGGAGTGACTGCTTTTTCAATTTTGCCTTTAATATATTGATAGCCCATCTTTTCATTTTAAAGAAAGGAAAGCAATGATGTGTTCTCCAGCTGTATTATCTATTACTTTTATTTCCTTTTCTGTTTCTCTCGATGCCCCGTTTGTTCTTTTCTAAGACATCACAACACAACTCTGAAAGGCAGATGGCAACGCCCAGTGGCTGAAGTAGCTGGGGAAGGAGGCTCGGCCCTCAATTCTGTGAGGACAACCTAACAGGTGGAATTCCAGTTCCCACCACAAGCCCTCAGGCCCAGGAAGGCAGGCGGCCGTCAGCCAACAGACCTGTACCTGTTGTGCACGGGGGCCTGTCCCTGCACCACTCCGGGCACCGGGTTCTCCAGGGCGCAGTCGAAGCCGCTTGTCACACACACGGGCTGCGTGGGCCACAGGTCTCCAGGGGGGTACAGACCTGAGGAAGAGAGCAAGGCCTCTCAGTGCCCCTTCTCCCCCCAGGAAACACCCCCGTGTCACCCCCGCACGCTGACCACACCTGCTCCCCCCACTCCTTTTGGGGTATAGTTTCCAAATATACAGCAGAAGTAGAGCATGCTGCTTTGACCTTTACTTCAGATGCTGTACGCCTGTGATCGAGGTGAGAAGTGAGCCAAGGAAGTGTGAGGAGGTGAGCTCTGGGCACGGGGGACAGAGCGAAGTGTGCAGCCCCCGCAGTGGGAGTGTGTCCTGTGAGTTCAGAACAGCTAGGAGCCAGACAGCACAGAGCCTGGTGAGCCCCGTGGAGGACGTGGGCACTGACTTCGGTCAGATGGAAAGCGCCTGGCAGGTTCTGAGCAGAGTGGCTGCCGGGAGGTCAGTCTCCACAGGCTCCTTGCACTTCTGTACATCCTGCAAGCAGAGGCCCTGGGTGCCTCTGTTCTGGACCATCTATTCAAGGATGTTCGCTAAGCAAAAGCCTCGCATCATACGGTGTCTCCCTCTGGAGCAGAGGGAGACATGCCCACTGCCTATTATAAAAGACACAGGTTCCTTAAGCTTAAGGTTCCCTCCTGCAATGCAAGCCACACGTATGCAAGCACCTGGGCCTGTTCAAGTCACCCTGCAATGTCTGGGACCAAGGGGAATTAATGCAAACATATGATGCTCATGCACCTGGCTAGGCCCCAGCCATATTTCCATTTTATGTGGGAATAAATGGCCTGGTGCAGGAGTGAGGCGGCACGGAGGCTGGGATAATAGACGTGTAGGACATGGGGAGGTGGGGAAGGAAGAGGAGAGGGCAGGGAAAGCAGAAGTAGGCTAAGGTGCTGGAGCCTCACCCTTCGTGTGCTTTCTAACGGGACCTCCCCATGGGAAAGGTGAACTAAACACAGGGGTAGCCCCGCACTATCCCGGAGCCCTTATGCCTGGGCTACAGGAGGGAGCCCAGTGTCAGTGCAGAGGGGGCGGCCGAAGGCAGAGGTTCCCAATGATGCAGGTGCAGAAGGCAGGTGCCTTCCCAGTGCACTAAAGCCCAATGACATGGTTCGGAGAAGAGGGCACTGGGGCAATGGCCCCGCCCCGCCCAAGCCCCCAGCCCACAACGTAGGACACCTGCACCTGGTGGTGTCTGGAGCAAGAGAAACTAGCCTCACCTTTATCTTCTTCAACACCTGCAGGCCCGGCAGGAAGGCTGGGACAGGGAGGTTCTGCATATTGTGGGAGACTCGTCACGTCGCTGTGGGGAAAGCGAGAAAATGGACATCGCTGATTTTTTCTGTACAAGGAAATACTGAAGTTGTATAATCAAGTCTCGTTGAGTGTTTACACGAATCCCTTCCCCAAGAAACCTACGGATACTAGAGACATATGGTTGACAGCCAGGAAAGGGTGGAGGAGTATTAAGACCCAGCAAAGTCGCCCTGTAATTATCAACTAAGCCATTTTAGCTAAGGTCACCGAGGCCATCTACAGCACACATCTGCCTGCCACCAGCTGGCAGCAATTCTTAACCCCTGGTTTACTTTCTACAGCTCACAAAAACGGTTCTTACAGAGCTTTCCTTGTACCCTTGCCGAGTGTCCATTTTCACCAACTCACTTATTTAATTTGTTTAAATATATTTTTATGGATTTCAGAGAGGAAGGGAAAGGGAGTGAGAGATGGAAACATCAATGATGAGAGAGAATCACTGACTGGATGCATCCTGCACGCTCTCTACTGGGGATGGAGCCCGCAGCCCAGGGATGTGCACTGATGAGGAATCAAACCGCGACCGCCTGGTTCTTAGGGCGATGCTTAACCACTGAGCCGGCTCACCAACTTATTTTAATAACATCCTATCCTCTCACAAAGTGGCCGATGCCTAAGAAGACGAATTTTGTCTCTCGCTCTGAAACCCTCTCCTCCTGCATGTCCTCCTCCCTCTCACTCAATAGAAGGTTTGTGTTATTTTGTCCGACGCTGCTGCAAGCATCACCCGGTGGGACTGTAAACACGGAGTATCTACCAGGTTCTTTCAAAACTTCCTAGATCGTCAATGCTTGGCTTTATTTCAAGTCCCAGCAAAGAGGAGACGATGTCCATTCTTATAACGACAGTGTTTTCTTTCTACTTTCAGGATGGGAGGCTTTCTGACAGTCACGTCACAGGAAGGACCAGCGATACCAGAGACACCTCCACATGAACTGTGGTCCCTTGGAAGGACGCCCCTTTCGGAATTACTAGTAAAATCAGATTTCACCGCCTCACATCCTTCAAACGTTTTCAGACCTTACCCTGCAGAACCAGGTACGAAGCGGAAACACGCCGACAGAAAAAGCAGTGCATGAAGCACACGGAGAATGCCGGGCAGCGGAAAACTTACGGGGGGTTGCAGATGTTATGGCAAAGGTTCAAGGAGATGGGCGTTTCCGGAGGAAAGTCGTTCTGTGAAACACTGTCTCCTGCATCAAAGCGAAAGAATTATCGCAAGTTTTTCCAAACATAATTCATCTGCATGATGTCTTATAATGCAAATGGTTAATATCATTAACCCCTAATGAGTGGTTTATTTTTCACTTTAAACTGATCGTCACACATTTAGTAATTTTATTATTAAAATGTCTTATAATTTATCTTTTATTTGAAAACCCAACATTTAAATGTATGAATTTTGGCTTAGTAATGTTTTCTTTATGGGGGGGGGGGGAAGGCTGAAACCATTAATAATATAGAATTTTTTAATGGTTTTTTTTTTCTGAGAAAATAAATTTTGCTATATAAATAGACCAGCTTATAAAAGTAAAATGCTTATCATAGGAAATCTATAAAAATAAACAAAAGTTTAAAAAAGGAAAATATAAGACACCTATAGTTATACTACCATTATCAACATTTAGAGATAGTTTTTACAATGTCTTTGATGTGTGCACATATGTGTAAAGTTGGGGTCATACTCATATATACTTTTCCTTTTTGGTCTTTTACACCATTAATTATATTGGGGACATTTCCCTGATATTACATAACCCTCACATTTTTACCATTCTTCTGTCAGCCTTCCCCTACTAACAAAAGCTACATTTCTGGTTTTTGTTAATGTTAAGCCCCGAATTTTATTTTATTTATTTATTTATTTATTTAAAAAAAATATATTTTATTGATTTTTTACAGAGAGGAGGGGAGAGGGATAGAGAGTTAGAAACATCGATCAGCTGCCTCCTGCACACTCCCCACTGGGGATGTGCCCGCAACCAAGGTACATGCCCTTGACTGGAATAAAACCTGGGACCCTTCAGTCCGCAGGCCGATGCTCTATCCACTGAGCCAAACCAGCCAGGGCAAGCCCTGAATTTTAAAAAGTCTTATGTTACATGCATCCAATACAGGAGCATCCAAATATATATATATATATATAAACCTCTTGGTTAACTTTAAGGGAGAGATCGACAGCAATACGGTCATAATAGGGGACTTCAACACCCCACTGACATCACTGGACAGATCTTCCAGACAAAAAATCAACCAGGAAACAGCGGCCTTAAATGACACACTACATCAGATGGCTCTAACTGATATTTACAGAACATTTCACCCCAAAGCAACAGAATATACATTCTTCTCCAGCACACACGGGACATTCTCAAAGACAGACCACATGTTAGGGCACAAACCAAGTCCATACAAACTCAAGGGAAACATGGACTGAAATCCCACGTGGATGCGTTGTCTAGGTTTTGACGGCTACGAGTGCCCGTCTCTCGGACAGGGCCTGCTTTTATAGGTCTCACTGCTGGTGGGAGGGCCGTTCTCGGGACTCACCGGCTGGCAGGAAGTGCTGAGGGGCACCCCCGGGCTTCTTGTCCCCATCGGAGCTGCTGCTGCTCCAGCTGCCCCAGCTGCCGCGGCTGGCACGCACGCTGCCCGAGGAGCTGCCGCAGTCCGAGCTGGAATCTGAGCAGGACTTCTCCACGCACTTCTTCCCCGGCTTCTGGAAGTAGCCCTCTGTGGGCAGGAAGAGAGAAGAGCTCACCCCATGTTTCCCTTAAGCCAGTTTCAACGTGATGTCATTTCCGGGCAAAGGAGAGAGGTGACGTGATGAAGACGGTAAGGTTCACCTTCAGGGTCAGCTGACTTTGCTGAACTGCAACTAATGATGGGATTTGGAGAAACAGCAGGGATGGGCTATGTCTCCTCTGCCTGTGGGATGGGCAGTTAAACCTGTTTGGGGCTCATTCAGCCCATATTGATGATAACTGGATCTAACTGTGCTTCTGGGAATAACAAACACTTCTATCAAGAAAACCCAGGCTGGTCTATTGGTCTGCAGACCTGTAGGTAATTTCCCCCTCTCTTCTATTAACATATCCACTAAACAGTGGTTCTCAACCTTCTGGCCCTTTAAATACAGTTCCTCATGTTGTGACCCAACCATAAAATTATTTTCGTTGCTACTTCATATCTGAAGTAATGTTGCTACTGTTATGAATCATAATGTAAATATCTGATATGCAGGATGGTCTTAGGCGACCCCTGTGAAAGGGTCGTTCAACCACTAAAGGGGTCGCAACCCACAGGTTGAGAACCGCTGCACTAAGAGCTTCGAAGTATAATTTATGTGTGGGTGGGAAGAACCTCCAATAGATCAAAAAGCAACTTATGTGTCAAGGGAATGAACAAAAGACAAGGATAGAAACTCCCTAACTCCGCCAGCCTGTGTGCGCTGACCTGGGCACGTGCCTGGGAACCTGGGTGCTGGTTGGGAGGATCACACCTCTTCCCACCCTGTGTCCCACCTGACTTGCCAACTTCAGTGGCCCTTTAGCCTCCAGCTATGCTCTGCCCTACCCTGGAGCTAGCATCGGGTGCCCTTTGCCTCCCACCCCCAGGGATGTGCCCAGCAGCCCTTCGGGTGGGGCACTGGCCTGGCTCTGCGGGAACCACTGGCTCAGGTGTGAGAACAGCTACTATCCTCCTCACCTGGCCGTTCCCTAGAGCAGCAACCAGTGTGCCTTCAGCAGCCTGCATGGGGACAGCCGAGAATGGCTAGGCTTCAGGGAGGTGGGGGAGGAGGGGACCACACGAGAGGCCTGTCCTGGCTCAGAAGAATCTTAGCCTTCTGGTCTCATCCCGACAGCTTTCCATTCGGGCTTCAGTAAGCAACGTTGCCTGCAGAGTGACCATCTCAGCAAGACGCCATTTCTCACACTGGGTCCTTCCTCGAGGAAACAAAAATCCCACCCGGAAGCACCATTCGCCGCTCAGTGGGTTCCATACCTGCCTCTCTCTTCGCGGCAGGTAAGCATCTTCCAATGCCAGCGTCTGTTTTACACCTGTCCCCAGGGGCCTCCTGTGGACACCAGTTTCTTACATCGATGTCACGGCTCAGCTCAGGTCTTTCAAATTCATTGCACGCAAGTTTTAATTCACTCTGTTCAGAAGGCCTGGAAGAGTCACACACGCACAAAAAAATCACACCCACGTGTTACACACGCATACATGCATACTGCTTTCCAGGCTATTACGCATGAAAATATGAATCGGGAGGGAGCACCTTGAGACCGCTTCCCCTAGGGTCCTGATGGGAGAAGGTGATGATAAAGAAAAGATTTCCAAAAGAAAAAGGTTTTGTTGCTTTAGAACTAGAATTAATTTGGAGCTCATTTATCCCACTTTTGCATTTCGCAGCGCGAAGAATAAAACTCCACAAGGTTACATGAGTCACTCAGGGTTAACTGGCAAGTGACAGGCCCTGGGCCAGAATCCAGGACTCTTGGCTTGTCTGTCTTGGTTTTAGCGTAAAATATGATTCTGAATAGAAGAACCCGCTCCTTGGTGTCTGGGGGAGAGTGCCGAGCATCTGCGTGACGTTTTCCTTATTCATTCATCTAGCAAACATTTGCGGAGTGACAACCATGGCCATGCATTGTTAGAAAAACATGCGGTGTCTACAAAGGATCAAGTTCCTCCCCCAAGGAGTTCATGGTCCAGTAACCATCTCTCTCCTACTAGACCACGAACTCCTTGAGGGAAGAACGGTCACGCAATTCTGTAAATGGCCACAGGGAGACGTGCAGAGAATGCCAGGGAATACCCAGTGATTATTTCACACGGTCGGATTTCAGTCCTCAAGGTAGGTGTGCAGGATGGACGGTCAGAAGATCCAGGATGTGGGGAGTAGCCCAGGATTTCACTGGTTTCTGGCCGCTCAAGGTAAAGCGTATATAGGCAGAGCAGAAAGGAGCCAAGGAGACAGACAAGCCAACAGCCACCTACTTTGTAAGCATCATGTTCTCAAAACATCCTGATTAGCTACAAGCTACTTGAAAGCTACACTTTTAAAAAGTTGTTTCTTCAGCATGTCAGAAACCTGCTTTCCAATATATATCATAACATTTCATTGGTGAAATTCCACTCTAATTTCGTATCTTTCCATAGGTTCATAACAGGAAAATATAAAACTTAAGAGTGACCATAGTAGTCAATCAAATTTTTTCTAAAAATACACATAAGAGACGACAAGGTGTAACTTTCCTTTCTATAAGATACTGCATTACAGCTTTCAATTAACATAGCCTAAATAATTTGGGCCTACATCAGGAAAATTAGCTATCAACAATTGGTACTCAGTATTAACAACAAAATGATAAAGAGTTTATTTCTTTTTGTTCAATATTTGCATTTTTCTGATTGTTTGCTGTGAGCCGAGGACTACCAGAGCTTGGAGTCAAATTGCCTGGCCCTTCTCAGCAAAGCGCGTATGAGAATTGCTGGGGAGCGTGTCTCAGTGCTGAGTCACCGAGTCTCAGCTCCAGATGCAGCCTCCTGGGGACCCAGGGACAGACGCTGTAACCAGAAACACACGTGCTTCCCATCTTCCCATCAGTGGTCCTTGCCACATGCGGGCTGTTTGGCCCGAGTTCCCTTCCCATAACAAGGGGAAGGCAGCGAGGTGGACCTGGCCCCATGCGAATCCAGAGCCGCTGGAGAACAACTGCACAGAAACTCATTTAAGCTGAGCTCACGAGAAAGAGAAATCCCCAGATGCTAGAACTCAAATGAAGAAAAAAGCCAGAGGGTGAGGACAGAGGGAGGAAACAGGCTTTACTGCTCAGGGCTTGAGTTTTCACACCCAGACAGCATCGCACAGGAGTTAGGGAGGAGGCAAAGTCTTCTAAACTGGAGCCCTGGAGGAGACACTGTCCTCACAAGGGCACCTGAAAATGAAAAGTCCCTCCACGGCCCCGGGAGGAAGAGGCAGGGGAGTGTCTGCCTCTACACACTGCTGACCTGGTGCAAAACAACAACACCCAAACCTCAAGCTGAGAAGTTTACATAACACTAGAGGCCTGGTGCACAAAATTCGTGCACTCGGGGGGGGGGGGAGGTTCCCCTCAGCCCAGCCTGCACCCTCTCGCAGTCGGACATCCTTAGCCAGTAGTTGGACATCCTTAGCACTGCCATGGAGGCCAGCCATGAGTCCAGCTTCTGGCTGAGCAGTGCTCCCCTGTGGGAGCACACTGACCACCAAGGGGCAGCTCCTGCACTGAGCAGGACTGGGCCAAAACCAGCTCTCTGACATCCCCCGAGGGGTCCCGAATTGCGAGAGGCACGGGCCAGGCCAAGGGACCCCACCAGTGCATGATGAAGGCCAGGGAGGGACACGGGAGGTTGACCAGCCGGGGAGGGACTGTGGGAGGCCTCCAGGGTGTGTCCAGCCCATCTCACTCAGTCCCGATCAACCGGACCCCAGCAGCAAGCTAACCTACTTGTCAGTCTTCCCCCTGTGGCCAGTGCACGTCATAGCGACTGGTCATAGGGTCGACTGTCTGCCCGCTGATGGTCAGTGCACGACATAGCAATTGGTCGACCGATCGATTGTCTGCCCCCCGGTGGTCAGTGCACCTCATAGAGAGCAGTTGAGTGGCCCTAGTATACCATTAGCAATGACACTTTGGTTGAATGGACGACTGGACGACCGGACACTTAGCATATTAGGCTTTTATTATATAGGATTAGACTTAAGAGCTATTTCTGGAAACGTGGAAATAAGGGATTCCCATATAAGCAATGCCCAGCTCCTTCGTTTAACTGATCTATAATAATAAAAGCGTAATATGCTAATTAGACCGGACATCCTTCCAGACGAAGCTATGGCAGCGGGGGCTGAAGCAGAGGTGGCCACTGCGGCTGTGGGGGCCGAGCCCCTTGCACAAATTTTGTGCATCAGGCCTCTAGTAAGAAAATAAAAGCTCAGCCTGACCAATGAACCAGGAGGTCACAGTTCAATTCCCGATCAGGGCACATGCCTGGGTTTCAGGCTCGATCCCCAGTAGAGGGCATGCAGGAGGCAGCCAATCGATTCTCTCATCATTGATGTTTCTATCTCTCTTTCCTTCTCCCTTCCTCTCTGAAATCAATAAAAAAATATATTTTTAAAAATAAATAAAAGCTCAGGGAGAGTAAGTGCCCCAGGAAGCAAGGCTGCCAAAGGAGAGTGCCAACAGCCTCGTTCCAATCCCGGCTCTGCCCCCCCCCCCCCCCCCCCGGCCTTTAAGCAAACACGTCATGTCTGGCACCTCTCTCCCCACAGCTGTGAGCACTACTGCGGGCAGGACGGAACCTCGGCCTCCATGAGTGGTGACTGTCTCCTTTCATGCAAGGTCCTGGCATAGAGGGTGTCTTAGGCTTTTTCTCTAAAACCTCCCATAGCTTTTAGCATTTGGTAAAGTAAAAATGTGAAAAATCTCTTCACTTGAGGGTATTTTTAACAAAATTAATGAAAACACAACTAGAAAATACATTAATTTTAAGAATATTTATCTCAAAATACAAACATCTACACTCTCACATTATCTGTATCCAACATAACAAAACTAAGACTCAAAGATAAAAGCTAAGTGTGAAATGATAGAGTAAAAACTAGATAGAAATCTTGAAGGGATTGTAAAAATTACACACCTCAAGACCTGGGCAGCACCCCTTTTCTTGTTTTTTCTACACGTTCGATTTTTATTCCAATTTAAATTTTGTAAATTTCCTTCTTTTTTCTCCTGAAGCTTCTTCTTCCTATCAGGATCTTCTTGCTAAAGAGAAAAGCAAACCTTTAGTTAAGGCTTGAACGGACCAAGCATATCCATTTAAGAAAACCAACCAAACAAACACCACTCTGTGATTTTTTTAAGGCTTTTGCATAGAAAAGTTTGGTTAATCTGGAAAAGAAAGGGGGGAGGGGGTGTATGATTTTTTAAAATAAACATTTGAAGACCAACTTTGTATGAATTTCATAACGTTCCAACGTTGAAAACGGAGACGTACATTTCTCAAACTCTAGTTGGTTTCATTTCCCTTCTTTCTCTACCTCCCTCAACCTCCGCAAAAAGAAAAAAAGAAAGAAAGAAAGAAAAAAGGTTGCCTATAAAATTCCTAAGGAGCAAAAAAGGAAAAACATCTGTTAGCAATTTATGGTCAGCTTGCTGTTAACTTCAGCAGCAATAAATCCCCCAGCCTTCACCTGTTAATTTGGCATGGGCAACTCCCATGAACCATCACTGAAGAAAGATCATGTAAGAACTTGACGCAGGAGTAATTTGTGTATTTACATTTTTATTTGTTTATAGATGAACTTCAGGGGAACAGCCAAATCTCCACAGAATGCTCCAAACGAGTTTAAGCTTTCTAAGTAAATAAGGCAAGGATATGCTGGGTGTTTCCTAAATGTGGTCCTGAAAAACTCACTGTAGCATGAGCTACATGTACAGTTGACCCTTGAACAATGCAGGAGTTAGGGGTGCTGATTCCCTCCATGCAGTCGAAAATCCACACATAACTTTTTTCTTTAGTTTTTAGTATAATACATTTATTTTACCTGGGTTTACAAAAAATTAGTTCATGTTATCTCTGTTACAAAATATGTCAGCACTGAAATAGCTTGGGCTAATATCCATGACTTTGATGTCTCATGGGTATTTCATGGCTAATCTAAACATAATTATTAAAACTTCTAACTCCCCAAAACTTAACTATGAATAGCCTACTATTGACCAGAAGCCTTACTGATAGAGTTGATTAACACATACTTTGTATTTTATGTGCATTCTTACAATAAAATGAGCTAGAGAAGAGAAAATGTTATTAAGAAAAAATCATAAGGAAGAGAAAACAACATTTACAATATTTATTGACAAAAATCCGTATGTAACTGGACCCGTGCAGTTCAAACCCATGTTGTTCAAGGGTCAACTCTGTATTTTATATATATGTAAAAATTATAAATTGTATATATAGATATAATTTTTTTTCATTTGGGCTTTTTCCTCTTTTAAATGTTAGGCATGGTCTATTAATAGGTCCAGGGAAAGGGGAATTCCCTCGTCTTTTAAATTTTTAAATAGCTCACACTTCTACTGTCTTCTAATGCTTACTCTTTCTCTCCCTCGCACCACCTACCCTGAAGCAACGGCACTGTGAGCAGCGGAGGCAGTGGGAGCGTGGGAGCTCACACTGAGACCCCAGGGCTCTAGCGGGTGAGGTCTTTCCAGGAGGAAAACGCCTTCTCACAGAGGCAAATCCCCTGGCTCAGGGAGTCCTCTTCCCATTGACCCTCAGGATTCACATTTCATAAAGAGCAGGGATTGGCTCATTGTACCTTCCTCTTTCAGGAGGTTGGCCCAGAAATCAGAGTAGGAATCCATGAGGTTCTAGCATGCACTTGGCTAACAAACATGACTTGGAAGAAAAATAAAAAGATGTCGATGCCTGCCTGTTACACGTCTGGGGTGTCGAAAGCCTCGTGTATCTATTAAAGCAATATGCTTACTATAATAAAGAAACTCTAGAAGTAAATGAAATTGTAACTGTGCATGTGGTGGGATTATGGGAATTTTTTTCTTCCTTCTTTATACGCCTTTATTTTCTCCCCAATAAATATGTATTAATTTTTTTTTCTGATTCTGAAGGTATTTTTAAAACGTGACAATTAAGCACACAAAGCTCTATTCGACAGGACCTTATGCTAATTTCTCAAATCTGATGGGAAACAGACACAGTACAGAAATCTGATCAGAGACAATCCAGAATTAAACATTAGAAACATGCCATATTTGTGCATGTATTGTTCCCTGTGTATTTCTAACTTGGGGGTGGGGGAGGGTTCTCCTCTCCTGCCCTATCTTGTCCACTTAAGGACCAAGAGAGGCTTTTCAAGCAAGGACCTGAGCCTTTCTGTCCCTCCAGGGTCACAAACAAACAAAGGATCAGTCTCTATGTGGAGTCAGAGACTAACTCTGACACTGGCTGCCTTCCTCAAATCAATCATGTTAGAACTGTCACCAGGTGTAAACAGAGGGTATGCATTTTAGGGCTACGGAGAGGTGGGCTTGGTGGTCAGAAGCATCATCACTTTCTCTGAACATTACAAAGAGTGAACTTTAGAACAGTGCCGGACAGTCTGGACTCAGAGAGGTGAATGGAATGACCAAGCAGCAGTGCCCATGAGCCAACACAGGACAGGATGGGAAGAGGGTGTGAAGGAGAGTAAAAAGCAAGACAACACAGAGGAATGAAAATTGAATGAACGGCCTTTTTCTTTAGCCGTGTGTGTGTGAGTGTGTATGTGTGTGTGTGTGTGTGTGAGAGAGAGAGAGAGAGAGAGAGAGAGAGAGAGAGAGAGAGAGAGAGAACAGGTCTATAATGGAAGCAGCAGTGGAACAGTTTGTGGAATGCAAACCAGAGAAACAAAGCAACAGACTTGTCAAGAAATGAGAGGAAGGATAAAGAGACCATCTGGCTCTCTGCTTGCTGGTGGAGCGGGTGTCACAGGTAGGCAGGCGGGACTAACCAGAAAACCGAGAGCCCATACAGTGTTGCAATTAAGACCACAGTCTCTGAGGCCAACCTGCCGGGTTTGCATCTCACTGGTGCTTTCCGGCTAAGTGATCTTGGGCAAGGAACTTACCGCTCAGTTTCCTGAGACTTCCTCAAAAGGCTGCTGTGAGGATTAAACTGGCTGGCACACAGTAAGCAGTTTATATAAGACTTAGCTATGATCATCAGCATTACTGAATTATTTGGCCTGGCTAAGTTCTCTGATCTCCTGGATAGAAGGGACAATGTGACTGACTGCTGGGTGGGGAAATAAGATTTCCTAAGTTTAATAAAAGCAAAGAAAGAAACCTAAGAAAAGAAATCACAGGCTGACTGCACAAAGCCAATGTATATAAATGAAAGCAAATAAAAAATAAGAGGAAAAGGACAAACTAAGGGGAAAAATTGAATACACTGATAGATAAAGAATTAACAGCTTTACATATGTTCTCATAGAAAATAAGAAAAAACACTAATATTCAATTGAAAAGTGGGCAAAGAACATGAAATGCAAATTCACAAAAGAGCTCTGACCAGTTGGGCTCAGTGGCTAGAGTGTTGGCCTGTGTACTGAAGAGTCCCAGGTTCGATTCCGGTCAAGGGCACGTACCTTGGTTGCGGGCACATCCCCAGTGGGAGGTGTGCAGGAGGCAGCTGATCCATATTTCTCTCTCATGGATGTTTCTAACCCTCTATCCCTCTCCCTTCCTCTCTGTAAAAAATCAATAAAATATATTTTTAAAAAAAATTCACAAAAGAAACATAAAAGGCAAAAATAAAAAAGAAGTGTTCATCTAAAACATTTAACAATAAAGTATATTTTTATGAAAGGCAAATTGAGACCAGCTTGTATCTCCTCTTTCCATTTTGGTTTTAAAAACCTCAACTGCGTTTACCCTGCATGTTCCTGCCTGCAAACTCCAGAGGAGGAGGGGCTGCGGTGGCGGCAGGGCACTGTCAGCAGCGTCGGGCTCTGAGCAGTGAATGGGGAATGGAGTTAGACATTTACGTCTTTGTTTACTTAAAAAAAAATCACTGGTAGGATTTTGGATGGATCATTTTTTACTTGTGTTTTTAGAACTTTACAAAAAATGAAATTTAGAAAAATGATCCCTTTTCCCTAGTAAGAGATGTACCTCCAAATTTAAAAAAGAAACTCACAATCGTTCACTTATCACACTGACCAAGACTTTGCCCAAAAAAGTGCTGCTGAGAGCAGAGTAAAACCGGCCTTCTGGTGTTTCGTGCATGGGGACAAAAGTCACTGCCACCTCCCTGGGAAGCAACCTGGCTTCTTTGGGCCGCCTGGTGGTCAGTGCACATCATATCGAGCGGTTGAGCGGCCTTAGTGTCCCTCCACGGCCCCGGGAGGAAGAGGCAGGGGAGTGTCTGCCTCTACACACTGCTGACCTGGTGCAAAACAACAACACCCAAACCCCAAGCTGAGAAGTTTACATAACACTAGAGGCCGGGTGCACGAAATTCATGCAGTGGGGAGGGGAGAGGGAGGAGGGGAGACAACTACAGGGCTCAGCCCGGCCTGTGCCCTCTCGCAGTCTGGGAGCCCTCGGAGGATGTCTGACTGATGATGGCTTAGGCCCGTGCCTTAATCAGTGGCTCTTCTCTCATTCTCCTCTAGAAAGCTAGAACAAGGAGGGATCAAGTATGTAGGCAAGACTTAGGAACAAAATCGTTCAACAGAGTGTTATTTATGAAAATAAAAAGTTGTCAACAACTTTATGTCCCACGGCAGGGGAACGGTGTAGGTTATGGCATAAATGACAGAATGCTATGTAACCCCCCAAAACAAAGCTCCTGTTCATTCCTGACATGAGACTACTTAGAATTACAACATTATAACAAAGCTACATAAACACAATAATGATCCTGCATTTTTTACAATTTGCAAAGAAATGCAGAATACAGAAAAACGTGAAAAGTAGTTCATTTTGGATAGATCTTTTCCTTCCTTCTTTGTGCTCCTAAGGCAATCATGAATGCCTTTATTAACCCCTACAGTGCAGGGGAGCGCGATCACACTCCTCCTGTCTTTCGCCAAAAGTGCAGGGAGCGCTATCAAAGCTTCGAAATGGCGTCCAGTTCTAAGTCTGCTTTTATTAGTGATGATGATATTGCTAAATATGTCCATGTAGTAAAGGTTTCCTTAAGTTTTTGAATATGTAACTTCATTTACTTGTGATTCATAATTTTTTTCCTAAACTGCTGTAAAATCAGCAAAAATGCCTTGGCAATTTTAGCATAGTTCCTAGGATACTGGTTGGCACTCAAAGGGTTAAGGGGGAAAAACTGCTTGAAAGAAAATAAACAGCCAAGGCAAGGGTCAAAATTTAGTCTGTGGCTCCCAAGTCTGGGCTTCAACCTTCTTTGCCAATAAATCTAGAGGAATGATCCTATGTATTATACAGATTTATATAATTTTCTAAGCTGCAAAATTAGACCCTAAGAATACGCTAGAAAAACAAACAGTGAGCAATGTACTTGGGAATGTGTTTACTGAGAATGATTTTCTCCAAACCAACAATGAAATGGAAAGCATACTCACGCATGGGGTTTTAAAGGAGAGTTAGTTCTACAAAACTGGAGGTGAATCACTGAGCCAGCAAAGAAATGATAGGGGAGAGCCCCCATGCAGCACCAGCAAAATCCATGGCCTTTAACCACAAAGCACAGCCTGTGTCCCCCACATCCCCGGACTCCTGCATCCTGACTGTCCAGCTGGCTAGGTGGATGCTAGCAACAGCACCTCATGGCACTGTTGCTCTGGGCCACCTCCTTCTTGTGGCCCCCAGACTGAGGGGATCTGAATGACTAGTTCCAACTGCTCCTCCCAGCACGAGACTGTGGGACTGTAGAGTCAGCACATCTCAGCTTTGGTTTCTACCTCATTGCAGGCAGCATCTGAGTCCCCAAGGCCCATCCCGAACCCCATGCAACCCACCTAGCCCAAGTCAGTGACTGTTACCGCTCCTGCAGGCAGGCCCTGTCTTCATCATTTGCCCTAGCTTTACCCGTACCACCTACTACTGTACCTGCACCTTCAAGCCGTCCGTAACTTTAACACTGCAAGGTTCAGACTCAGGCCCTAGGTGTTCTCTCTGCATACACCTCAGAGAATTCAGGGTCACCCTTAAATTCTAACCTCCACAGGGCCAACTCCCCAGTGGCAAGCTCCGGGGCTGACTTGCCATGAATGCTCTGGTTCCGTATCTCCGTCTGTCTACTCTCCTCTCTCACATCCAAGTCCAGCCGCCCCTTGTCAGTAATGATCACAGTCGGACCTGTCACTTCCTCGGTGCTTACTCTTCATCAGTACTTAGGAACTCCCACTACGCTGAGCCCTTAACCTATCAACTCATTTAATCCTCACAACCCTATGAGGTAGGTATACTATTTTATGTTAGTATTATCATTATATTATTTTTCAGATAAGGAGACTGGGGTGTTTAATTTGTCTAATGTTATCGAGCAAATAAATGATAAGCTGGGGTCAAGCCCAGGAAGTCTGGTACCCATTTGCTTAAGAATAGTTTCTCTTGAGAGTAAAAGCTAGCTGATGTCTCCCCCCCCCCCGCCCCCCGCACCCCCCATCCCCACCCCCACGCCAAGTTATTTCAGTACCTCCTGTATAATTAGAAAATAAATAAATTTTCGGGACACATCCAACTCACCCGTTATCAATGCAGTTCTAAATGCCTGATAACCAACTTCTTTCAAATGGAGGAAATAGACATGTACAGTTACAGCCATTACACAGACAGCTGCACTCTAAGTCTGAAAAATGGGTACTATTCTAATAGGCAAGAAAAAAGGAAGTACGGACCTCGACAGAAGGCATGTCCTGCTTCTCAGAACACACGTCTTCTTTCGACGCTTTGTGGATCTTCTTTTCTGAAGAAGACTTTGTGTCAACCTTCTTCAAAGCTTCACAATTGTCCACTTCATTCTTGACAGGCACTTGCTGGTTATTCCCTTGAATGAATAAAAATGATTCCATTTCTAGCTCATTATTTCCACTCACATTTTCCACAGTTAATTCTCTTTGCCACACCAATCTCATTTAATGACATTTAGACTTAAGGATTGGTTTTGACATCCCCAGTGTTCTAGAAACTTATTTTGTTTACAAGTAAAAAAACACTTATATTAAAAGTTCTATGAATAGTCTTTAAAGAGCTCAAGGGATAAGAGGGAGGGGCACACCATTATTCACCGCAGCAAAATTCATAAATGCCAAAAGATACAAACAACCCAAATGTCAATGGGCAGATGAACAGATAGATAAAATATCGTATACATACAATGGAATATCATTCAGCCTTAAAAAGAGACGATTCCTTGCACAAAAATGTGAATATACTTAACACTGCTGAACTGTACACGAAAAAATGGTTAAGGTGGGAGGAAAAAAGAAATTCTGATACATGCCACAACATGAATGAACCTCGAAGACATTATGCTAAGTGAGATAAGCCATACATTCCTAGTACATGATTCTACTTGTTTGTGAAACCTAGAATCAACAAACTCATGGGGATAAAAAGTAGAATGTTGGCTACCAGGGGCCGAGAGGAGGGAATCCAGGTAATGATTGTTTCACGGGTATAGAGTTTCTGCTTGGGATGATGAAAAAGCTCTGAAAATTGGTGATGAAGATAATTGTATGACAAAGTTAATATTCTTAACATGCCACTGAGCTTTATAATTTAAAATGGTAAATTTTGTGTTATGTATATATATATATATTTTTAAATATATTTTATTGATTTTTTACAGAGAGGAAGGGAGAGAGACAGAGAGCCAGAAACATCGATGAGAGAGAAACATCGATCAGCTGCCTCCTGCACATCTCCCACTGGGGAAGCGCCCGCAACCCAGGTACATGCCCTTGACCGGAATCGAACCCGGGACCCTTCAGTCCGCAGGCCGACGCTCCATCCGCTGAGCCAAACCGGCTTTGGTGTGTTATGTATATTTTACCACAATTTTGTAAAAAGTTGGAGAGAGAGGGGTCAAGACTTGAGTTCTGGTCATGACTCGGGCACTAATTAGTTTTATGATCAAGTCAGTCTCTTACACTGCCTGAGCTTCAGTTTCCTTATTTATAAAATGAAAATACCACCTTATCATCCTCCCCTCACTGACGGTTAGAAAGAAAACACCAGAACAGATATAAATGGGCCACCATCAAAAGCCATGTGAACTGTTCCAGGGCAGGTCCTTCTGCAGGGAATGCCCAACTGCCCAGTGAGCGGTGCCCAGAGGCTGAGAAATGAGCGGGAGGTGGATCCTATGGCCAAGGTTGGTGCTGATAGAAACCTCATCTGAAAACATGATTTTTCCATTTTTCTTTCAAATGACTGCCTTAAATAAAAAAAATAAAAAAAAGTCAAATCAACTGCAATCCTATACTAACTGGCCTCAGTCTTCTAACATGAAACAAAGTATTTCAAAACCTCCTTTTTTTCTTTATCTGAGATTCTCTGATACCTTTGCAACCTAGGAAAGACTTAAATGACCACAGTGCCAACCTCACAGCAAAGCGGGCTGCAGGCTCGGGGGAGATGACCGCCTGACCAGACACCAGCAGAGGCTCCAGCGGGCCGGCCCTGTCGTGGGAGCTAGGGCAGGGCGGCTTTCTCAGAGTCGGAAATTCTGAAGCTACAAGCTAAGCTCGCTCAGAGCAAGACACATACATTTTTTAAAATAAGTAGAAGGTAAGCATACTGTTATTTTGTTAACAAAAACTGCATAAACATTGCATCACTATAAAAATGCTGGGGAAGCATGAATCCTCTACAACACGGACTGGGTGTCAGGCATGCACAGAGGAAAAGCATGCATCCAGCATCATGAAGGAGCAGAGGAAATAGCCAGGAGCAACGGAGATCGGGTCCAAAAGGGAACAGGAAATCATAAAGGCATCGCTTTGGATTCTGGAAGCCATAAGCATAAAACAGAATATAGATAATCTCTTTAAAAAATAGTACCATTACTCTCCTCGAGTCTTAATTCATGGAAAAATGGATTTCCTTCTGTTTTCTTCAGGCCAAGAATAGCACTAACAGTATCAGTCATCAACATTTCTTAGGAAAGATCAAATGTAATATTCAACACTAACCTTCCCCCCAACAGGGTTAAAGCAGAGACTCTTAGGAAATTAATAATGCCTTCTGTGAGGACAAGAATCAGAAAAACCAGATGAATTCTAAAAGCAACTTCTTCTCTAACTCTTTGAGAAATTCTAACATGACAATTTGCAAGAACTAAAAAATACCGTGAGTATACATTTCATTTAAAATAATGGAGCCATGCCCTAGCTGGTTTGGCTTAGTGGATAGAGCATCAGCCTGTGGACTGAAGGGTCCCAGGTTCGATTCCGGTCAAGGGCACGTGCCGGGTTGCGGGCTCAATCCCCAGAAGGGGGCGTGCAGGAGACAGCCAATCAATGATTATCTTTCATCATTGATGTTTCTATCTCTCTCCTTCTCCCTTCTTCTCTCTGTAATCAATAAAAATATATTTTAAAAAATAATAATAATGGAGCCATGCCCGATCAGCGTGGCTCAGTGATTGAGTGTTGACCTATGAACCAGGAGCTCAGGGTTCAATTCTGGTCCGGGTACATGCTGGGATTGCAGGTTCAATCCCCACTGTGGGGTGTGCGGGAGGCAGCCAATCAATGATTCTCTCATCACTGATGTATCCCATCTCCTCTCTCTCTTCTTTCCTCTCTGAAATCAATAAAAGCATATATTTTTTATTTTTTTTAAATATATTTTTATTGATTTCAGAGAGGAAGGAAGAGGTTAGAGAGAGATAGAAACATCAGTGACGAGAGAGAATCATTGATTGGCTGCCTCCTGCACACCCCCCACCGGGGATCGAGCCCGCAACCCAGGCATGCGCCCTTGACCGGAATCGAACCTGGGACCCTTCAGTCCACAGGCAGATGCTCTATCCACTGAGCCAAACCGGCTGTGGCTAAAAATATATTTTAAAAATAATAATAAAATAAAATAATGGAGCCAGTCCATAGTATCCTACAGCATGTTTACTTAGAGTATTACACAATTTTCTTAATTTATCTCACAAAGTAAGAGTGTTTGAGCCACGAAGATAAAAAGAAAAACACAAATAGAACAAGGAACAAGTAAACTCAAAAAAATAACTGCTTAAAGTTTTACTATATTAAATCTAACCATATAGTATATGTGGAATAAACTGCTACATACCCATTTTAAGCTGTTAGTATCTGCAAGTAAATGAGACTACTTTTTTTTTCAATTTCTGCAAATATTGGTATTTCAGAAATTTTGAAGGCATGTATCTAATTCAGTGAAAACTTACACGTTAATTTCGAGGTATAGGGTATTATTAAATTTAAAAGTATATTACCCTTTGCATTATTATAAGCAGAAAGCAATACTATAATTGGCTAACTATTTCTCTTTCACGGTGCTGAGGCCAGCGGCAGTGTGTCTTTAGTCTTAATTCTAAATCTCTGCTATTCTGATCCTACACTTAAAATAATAGTTATAAGCACTTGAAAAGAGACACATTTGAAAGATCATTTACATTACACAGGAAGCCCTACTTTTGTCACGTGATCTAAAGACGCCGCAACGTGGAATAAATGTTTGGAAAACATGGGTGTTTCCAGGCGTTTGACAGGTTGATGCCAAAAGAGCAAGTGTGTGAAAACAGAGCCTTGAAGAATCTGTCTCTCCCCAGTGCCACAGCCATGGCATTTCGCAGGCACATCTATCCACACATCGGACGGACACAACAGACCACAGAAGCAGCACAAGCCCTTCAAACTCGGGTTTTAGGTTTGTGTGAAGTCAGCCCATGTCAAATATGCAAGGCCTAAGTGACACACACAAGAGACAAGCCTAGCCGGACTCACCCCCTGATTTCACCCTTCACAAACATTTGTGGTCTGGGCCTGGAGAGTGTCTGGGACAGAAATGGAACAGTAGGCATCCCACCGGCCCCGCCACAGAACACCCTCCGACAAGCTACGCTGCGACTTTACGGAACAATCTGGTTGAGTACACTGTCCGGAGGGTGTGCTCACATGCCAGGGGGAGAGGACACAGGGGACAGTGCTGACCCTGCCGCCAGGAGTCCACTCCAAGCATGAGCACTGTTGCCAGGGAAATGGTACAAACAGGTTGGAACGAGGTGTACCCGGAACACAGGTGCCCAAACCAGGTTCCACTTGGAGGACTCCAGCTTCCTTTCAAACTGGAGATGGAACATTTAAAATTCAGCTGGGGTTTTTTACTAAATGCATAAAGCTCATTAGAGTTAGCCAACCCATAATACTTCAGTACTTTCTCCACAGTCTCAAGGAGCGAATTATATGTACCTGTTTCCAGATTAAAAAGAGTCAATGACCTTAACAGAAAAGTGCAACTTAACATGGTCGCCCTGGACAAGAAACATCAGCACAGGCTTTTATTCCAGAGGCCAAAGGCTTCGGTTAAAGCTCAGTGACAATTTTATATGTAGCTAGTCTCCCGAGTCTAGTTTTGCTTACATTTTCATGGACTGTATTTGCTATAGGAGGACGACATCTGTCTCCTTTTAACCAAGGGACACAATTAGAAAGAAGAACCAGGACAAGGAACAAGAAGAATCAAGAAGAACCAGGACAAGGAACATGAGATGGAAGCCGCTGTTAAATACAAAAAGTTGGTTAAGTTTTGTTCATCCAGAAACACTTTATGGGCTGGTTAACTTTTGCAAACAGAGAGGCCAAGATAAAAACTAATTAGGAAAAGGTGTCCCTACCCTCCCAACAATAAAATATGATATCCACTCTCTCTAGACACAGGTACTAAAGTTACCTTCTTAGTCACGACAGTCTAAAACCTTGGTGCCTTGTCCTAAACTTTTCAGCTAAGAAACCGTATGTTAGCGTGTATACCTTTGCTAAAACTGTGCATGCGAACGAAAAACTCAGCATCCACAATTAAAACTCAAGTCACTGGTGAGAACAAATTCCATTTAAACCAGACCAGAGACACACAGGAGAGAAAACCATCAAGGAGGAGGTAAAGATTACCGTGATTTCTCCTGGAAACTTCTGGCAAGTCTGACTGGTACTGAGGTGAGTTTCTTGGCAAATGGTTTTCAGGTAGTTTCTTCGAGGTCTTCAGAGGACCGAGTTCTCGCTCCTTGAGCTCAGCTATGTTTTCTGAAATTTTAATGTCCGTTTCCTTAGGAAACATACATGTTTGTATTCCCTCCTTCGTATGACATTCCGAAGAAGTGTTATTGACAACAATTGTGTTTTTCAGTGTGTTTTCCTCTTTGTTCAGTAAGTTTTTGGGAAAGGTTAAATTCTTTTGAAGGTTGACGTTGATGCCGCTGGCATATTTGAGGTTTGTCCAGTTCTCACCCATTATATCGGTGCACACGTCCTCTTTAGCGGTAGCCAGGGAGCCGCCCAGGCTCGCCGTCTGTTTGTCCTCGGCAGCCAGGTTGGCAGTGCTGGCGACCGACGCGCTGGGTTTGTGTTTGCTGTAATAGACTGAGCACTTGTGCTTCTTCTGAGAGTGACCGTAGGTCGCTGGGCTCCTCTTCGCAGCGTTCTGCATCCTGCTCTGTGGAGTGTTGACCGGGAGGCAGCTTTTCCCTCTGCCTTTGTCAGAGGGGCCGTAGGTATCGAGAAAGTTCTTGCAATTGCTTCTGAATCGAAGAGAGGGAAAAAAGCACTTAAGATAGAGCCACACGGAATAAAACACTACCTGTCTGTTTTTGAATCCACGAGGGAGAGAGGTAGCAATCAATACTGTGGGGACTGAGTTCTACCTTGCTTCTTCTAAAGCTCCGTGAGTTCAAAATACTATGTCCTTACAGGAAGTCTATCGTATAATTAAAAAAACATGACAGCTGTCACACCAGGACAAAGAAAACTTTACGAAACAAAGTTGGAGTCAAAATTTATATTAAGTTAAAATAAAATTGGAAATCAGTGCTATCAAAGGCGAGAAACAGCCCCGCCTACACACACGCCACAAGAATCCTTACTTGTGCGAATGGGAGCCGATACCCTCTATCGGACTGTTGTTCTGCGGCGAAGAGGAGCCCGCATTCTGCCTCTGTCTTGTTTTCATGAACTCCATAAGGATGTACTGTGCTTGCTGGAAGGCTATTAAAATCACACCTAGCAGGGACAAACTGAGAAAGAAAGCAACAAGACTCATCGTGGCATGGTTCTGACGGGCATTCAAAAACCAGATTTATTCTAGAAGAGCAGTGAATGGTTGACAGATCATGTCTAAAGTTACAGCATTAAAATTCCAGAAGATATGTGACATCACCATTTCTGACATTTCTTAAAGACTGAAAAAACCACCCACGCTTTTAAAAATGTGCATATTTATAAGTCTGACATTTCAATTCCATTTTAAAAGATGCTTCCAGGATAAAATCACTCTGAAAGGATCGTTGTGGTTTTAAATTTCCATTGCCATGGAGCGAATAAGAGTACCATTTAGTATATCTCCCACCAGGACTGCCAATGAACATACATGGCTCACAACTGTCTATTTGACTTGTAGGTCTTACTGTTCATCTACTGTTATTATATTGAAGCTTTCCAGTTACTACTTTCTCTACTTCATGTATGTCAGGGTTCTTTAAATGATATAAATTCCACTCAATTCATATGCTTTGATTGCACGTAGGCAACATAACAAGTTCACGCAACTCGCCTGCCTGGCTCCTCCACTCAGTGAGAAGACAGTGAAAACAGTGGTAGTTTACCTGACAAAGAAGACCGTAAGCCTCCAAAATGACTCCTCCCAGCTGGGCCCTGGAACCACGTCGGCACACAAAGGCAACAGGTGATGAGGGAGGGTCACATTGAGAGTGAAGCGAAACTCTAGGTCAGCCGCAGTGACGAGAGTCAGCTCACGAATGACCCAGGAAGAGGTAAAGTCTGGAGTAAACCTGGTGACAAAAGATTCACCTTTGTAAACTTAAATTTTAGGCACAAAACATAATCATCATCGTAGCAAAATTTCTTCCTTGTACAAGATACTTATATAAAAACAACCTAAGATATTTTACCAATGAAAAAAGGTTCCCCAACCCACTTGACATTAAAAACATCACAAAGCTTTAGTGAGGTTAAAGCTCTATGCTTACACAATGCTGATATCTCGAGATGTGTTTGGGGGCAGGGAAAACTGATGGCAATCTAGCACTTCGAATCCATAGCCTTGGCAATTATACCCATTGATTTTCAGAGACGTCACAGTTATAGGAAGTGGTCCGATATTCTCAACTTTGAAGTTCTTTGTAATAGATAAAATTTGCTTGCTGTCTTTCAGTTCTAGTGAGGATGAAAAGTGATAGTTATTACATATGAACTGCAAAATTGATATAAAATAATTTATTGCAACAATGTGCACATTATTAAAATGTTTTCAAAAATCAATGTAAACTCAAAGCATGATCTCTATCTACTTTCTTGAACAGTTATAGATTTTGTTATATTATCAGAATAAAATAAAAAGTACTTACTTAAATTTTTTAAGTTAAACAATCAGCCTAGGTACCAAAAGAATAAATCTCTTTTTTTTTCTTTTACTTATTAAAGGTTAAGGTTAAAAGTTTATTCTTCTCAGAAGCCAAATCATTTGGATTTACTACTAGCTCTACTCACCCTCTGCCCCCTGAGACCCCACTCACACTGAACGGGGGGACCAGTTAAGAGGCTGTGTGTGCTGCTCTGTAAAGCCATCATGGCTACTAGAAACACAGTTCAAAGACCCACTATGTTAAGGGGAAGTAAATAATTAAATCCTTACAAATAAATGAGAGCACATTTTATGTTTAAAAAGAGAAGAGTCCTCTCAATTTAAAAATACTCCTATAGCCCTGGTTGGTGTGACTCGGTTGAAGGTCATCCTGTGCACCAAAAGGTCGCTGGTTTGATTCCCGGTCAGGTCAGGGCATACACCCAGGCTGCATGCTCCCTGGGGTGCATTCATAGGCAACCAATAAATGTTTCTCTCTCTCCCTCCCTCTTTCTCTAAAAATCAATAAAAACACGTTTTTTAAAAATCCTATAAAATTTATAACCCACAATCTAATATTTTATCTGGTTCTATAGGTTTTACATTACTCTTTAATTCTCTCTCTCAAGGTCAGCTCAAAATGAATGAATGAATGAATGAATGAATGAATGAAAAATGATGAAAAATTTTTAATGCAAAATGGCTAATACATCTTTTCAAAGTCAGTGTTCTTTCAGCATAGCTTTCTAAATTAAAAAAATTCCCATCAGGCATTAAACCAGTGCTATAAATTATCCAACAGTTATACTAACTAGCCTTCTCCACAGGAAACATATTGTTACATAAAATGCTTTAAATGTGTTCCTGAAATTAAAAATGATAACAGGAAAACAAGAATTTACCAGAAACACTTTACATCTTATTTGATTTTTGTTTTAGTTCCTCAGAAAGTTCTTGAAACTAATAAAAGTAGCTCAAAAGCATTTAATTTAAATATATGCATAATTTAGAAATTTTTAATGGAACGTTTAAGTAAATTTATAAGTCTCCTTGTTCAGTACAGTAGCCAGTAGACACATAAAGCTACTTAAAGTAAATTAAAAACATTTAAACTTGACTTTCTCAATCACACTAGCTCTATTCTAAGCACTCATCAGCCACACGTGGGAGTGGCTGCTGCACTAGACGGCAGAGACGCAGAACACTCCTGTGACTGCACAAAGTGCCATCGGGCGGCATGCCTGTAGTCTTCTCTCCACCACTTGTGATTTTCTAGGTTAGGTAGCCGATAACCAAATTAACAGGTTCATACCATTTATCCTAAACATCAGACACTATGCTAGTAATTTAGCAACTGTACTTTCCCCCTCTATATCTAGTATATTTAAGTTGACTATTGTTCTAATTGAGTGATATCAGCCCATTTAGGCTCAGATGTTTGCCTTATCTAATTATTTGCCGCGACACAATGAATTTACTGGAAACATTTGAAAAGAAGCTTCCAAGAGAATCCCGTTGCCGCTGGCTTTCGCACCCAGCCCGTCTCGCATGGGGACTCACGTCGCCGGCAGTCCATCAGCGTGGACTCGGGCACCTTAAATCGGAGCGAGCCTCCTGGGCCAGGCAGTCTCCCGCCCACTTTCAGCAACTCTCGCGCTCCAAATCCTTCCACGGCAATCATGTCGATAACAGTCAAGTTATTCCTTTAAGGGAAAGGAGATACAAATAAAAGGCATTACAATAGAGTCACTTGTACTTAAATATTCCTAGTTAGCAAAAACATTTTTCCTGTTTTGAGAAAGAAAATCCATTTAAATAGTGTGGCCTCTCCTGACAAGCACAGAACAGAACAAGTGGAATACAGCAAGAAGGAGTGAATGATCATGATCCCTCTTCAATGTCAGCCAAGAACATAAACCAGCCGTGGGCAAACTACGGCCCGCGGGCCGGATCCGGCCCATTTGAAATGAATAAAACTAAAAAAAAAAAAAAAGACCATACCCTTTTATGTAATGATGTTTACTTTGAATTTATATTAGTTTACACAAACACTCCATCCATGCTTTTGTTCTGGCCCTCCGGTCCAGTTTAAGAACCCACTGTGGCCCTCGAGTCAAAAAGTTTGCCCACCCCTGACATAAACCCATGTATTTTTAATAACCAGCCACCAGGGTGGTGATCCGACCTCCAAGAGAAAACAAACAAACAACGAAGTAAATTAGGAGGCCACAGAGAAACACTAACAAATACAGACAAATGCATAAAAATTATTCACATGGTGAATTAAGGCGTTTTCACAGTATTTGTGACTATGAGAAATTCTGCCTTAGGAATAATTCTCGAAGTAAAACCCTACTGTTTATTCTGAACTGAATATTTAAAATATTATCCCACAAATAACATATATCTACTCAAGTTCTTATTAAACAGTAATTCAGACTAGTTTTTGCTTTTTCATGAACTGAAATTATGCTTCCTAGGATGAAAAGGTGAAGTGGAAATGATGGTTAAATGATGCAGATTGACCGAAAGCCAGTCATCATGAATGTAAACACTATAGAAACAGAGAAAGAATTCATTTCTCATTATGCAAAATACAGTTATCGTCACATCTTTATTAAGTGATATTAGGTGATTGGTATTGTTTACAGAAAAATACTGTGTATCAAAACGGAAACCACCAAAAATAAATTAACTACTATAAAAAAATTTAGGTTTTCTTTCGGAGTCTGGGATAGTTTCATCTGGCATGAGGTGAAGTTTATATCTATACTTCCTACAACCTTAATTCTTCAAAAGAAAATGGGTTTAAAATGAAACACACCATCATCAAAGCATGAGGAGTCTTAGTTAAAATGCCTAAAAGAACGTTTAGTCCATTTTCTGTTTAGTAGCATTCACTTGCAGAAGAACAAATACATACAATATACAACATACTAAATAGATTCCAGAATAAGAAAGTTGTTGCCAGATGATCTGACACTAGAAAAGCTTAAAAAAAATAACTAAAATGTCATTTATTAAAAATTAAATTTGTGCTAGACTTCTTGCCAATGCAGAGAAGTCTAGATCTGCATTTACTGTCAATTTTTGAAAGAAGACTCTCAATAAAGACTACCTAATGATGAAAAATAATTAAGAGTGGAAAACATTTAGCTGCTTAAATCAGGGAGCAATATAAAGCTTGTTTAAAAGGAAGGGGAAAAAAGCAGAAAGAGCCAATGGGCTCAAATAAGCACTTGCCCTTTGGGGCCACAGAGAATTCCAGAAGCAAGGCAGACAGAAATGAGAGTGATGTACATCCAAACACTGTGGAATGAAAAGTATACAGCAGCTTTTTAATTATTCTTCTGAGCTAAGACAGGGAAGTAAATGCCTGTATGTGTGCCGTGTGTATGCATTTGCATGTATTCTTGTGTTCTGCCCTTTGTGACAGAGTCAGTGAGACGCTGAGTGAAATGTGCTTCTCCTCATGGAGGGAGGGGCCCACACTCCCTACTGTACAGGGAGGGAACTGAAGCAGGGATTAAGTGTGGAGCCTCAGGTCGCCTCTCTTCTCAGACCCTGCCTCTTGCTAACACGCAACACAGCCTTGCCACCGAAGGCCCGACTGAGACGGACATGCTAGCACGTAGCTAAAGAGATCATGTATTCCTGAGAGAAAAAATTCAGACAGACAAGCCAATGAGCAAGAAACTCTCCAGGACGAGGGGCCACACCTACCGAATTAGAATGAGTGAGGTGACTTTTCCATAGTCAGCTGGCGTGAAAACTACACCGACCCTTTTCTGTGCCAGAGGCTGCAAATGGAAGTGGAGGCTGCCAAACCTGGATCCCTCAGAATGCATACCCTGCAAATTTAATAAGTGCAATTCAACAATTCCTGTAAGGCAAGCTTCTGTCTTCATTGTGTGCATTCTAGAGCATGGACATGATTGCTTTTCTTTTCATTCCCAGGTGTGACCACCCTAATCAGCCTGTCGAACTGGTTCATCCCGAGAGTTCACACCAACAAACAGTTACAGCTGAGAAGTCCTGGCGGCGGCTGCAGGACAACCCACACGGATGCCGGACAGGGGGCTTGTTTCCTGGCTTGGAGAGGAGTGGGGGCTAGAAGCCTTCACTGTAAAGATGGGTTGAGTGGAACACGTCACTTAGAAAACAGACCCAACAGCCTCTACTTGAACACTAGAAGGGTCTGAGCAAACCATCCACCCACTGCTGCCTGACCCCAAACTCTCTTCCATATTGAATTTAAGTTTGCATAGAGACCATCTTTATTATATTTAGTCTCTCCACTCTGAAGACCTTCATTTATGCACATTCTCCTTTATTCTAAGATTTTTATCTTTTTCTGGATAAATCTTGTGGTCTAAATTTAATATTCAAGATTTAGTTCTTTGTCATTTTCCCTCTTTACACATTTTTTTAACTCCTCACTAAAAACAATTGATTTCTAAGAGCTATAATCACATAATCTGCATAGTAATATTTCTCTTTTTTATATTTCTAATTTTTAAATTTGTCTTATCCTTCAATTGTTGCTAGCATTTCCTATCCTATCTGAAAGAAGAAATATTGATGGCATTTGATTCATTTTCATTAGAATTGTAAGCTTCATGAAGGGAGAAATCCTGCTTTATACATACAATAGGAATATTGAATAAGAAGCTGCTGATGTGCCCAGCCAGAGTGGTTCAGTGGTTGAGCATCGACCCAGGAACCAGGAGATCACAGTTTGATTCCTGGTCAGGGCCCATGCCAGAGGTTGTGGGCTTGATCCCCAGTAGGGGGCATGCAGGAGGCAGCCAATCAATGATTCTCTCTCATCATTGATGTTTCCCTCTCTTTCCCTCTCCCTTCCTCCTTCTGAAAGTCAATAAAAATAAGATTCTTTTTATTTATTTTTTTTAATGTTGGTCAACCTTAATTTTTTTTTATATATTTTATTGATTTTTTACAGAGAGGAAGGGAGAGAGATAGAGAGTTAGAAACATCGATGAGAGAGAAACATCGATCAGCTGCCTCCTGCACACCTCCTACTGGGGGTGTGCCCGCAACCCAGGTACATGCCCTTGACCGGAATCGAACTTGGGACCTTTCAGTCCGCAAGCCGATGCTCTATCCACTGAGCCAAACCGGTTTCGGCAAGATTCTTTTTAAAAAGCTGCTGATGTTTAGTATTAAAGTATAATAATAACAGCACCATTTATTAAATGTTACTTATATGCCAGACGCTGGAATGCAATAAGCTTTATAAAATGCTGAGCATTCCATAAACCTTACTGATTCTTCAAACATTTATACTATGGGGGAGAGAGAGGAGGCTCAGAGAGGTTAAATAATTTGCCAGGGTCCCACAGCAAGAACATGTAAGAATCTGGATTCAGAACCTTGCGTGTCCAATTCCACGTGGTCTTACCCAAAGCAATTACATCTCTAAAAGCAAACCACACAATTAAAATACAGGCCCCTTTCTTTACATCACAAAGAGTTCTAATAAAAATTTTAAGTTAAATTTTTAAGTGTCTCAAAGGCATAGACACTGACTATTCTTTTTGTGAATGTAATAGTTCCCTTTATCACAAAAGGTGTCTATTTTTAGGGGAGGAATCTTCAACGAGAGATTAAAAACTTTTTCCAAGGAGTTATACCAATCTGAATAGAATACTTCTACGTAAAAGGATTGGCATTATTTCTGGAATTTCTAATCACATTTGATTCAATTCCAGTGGGGCAAACTATCTCTTGGTATTTGGACTAATTTACCTTGAACAGCCCAGGGAGACTGCTTGGGACAGAGCGGGACAGGCTCACTAAAAAAAACAAGACCACGCTACCTAGACCACTGACAAAGAGGAAGGAGCATCTATTGTTAGGTTGTTTCCTACAGCAAATAAATCTCCATTCAAAATCTACTTAAAAATGCACTCTGATTGGTTTAATTTTAACTTAGTTGTGATTGGTTTAATTTTAACTTAGTTGGAGGTTCTCTGTGGTCTCCCTCTTCCTGTTATTCAAGTTACTCTAGAGCAGCGGTTCTCAACCTGTGGGTCGCGGCCCCTTTGGCGGTTGACCGACCCTTTCACAGGGGTCGCCTAAGACCATCCTGCATATCAGATATTTACATTACGATTCATAACAGTAGCAACATTACAGTTATGAAGTAGCAACGGAAATAATTTTATGGTTGGGTCACAACATGAGGAACTGTATTTAAAGGGCCAGAAGGTTGAGAACCACTGCTCTAGAGCTAACAGTGTATCTTTGGAGAGTTAAGTGAGGAGAAAGAAGAAAATGCCCAAGGCAGTTAAATATGTGTATTAGAAATACACAGGGTGTCCCCCCCAAAAAATGTATGCACACTTTTAATGGCTGATAGCTCAATTTTGAAAACGAAATGTATTTTAATAAACACTGCCTTTGTAATCATTCAAAGTGTGTATATACATTTTGGGGGACACATGTAGTTGTATACCTACGTGTGTTTACATGTATATGCGTGTGTGTTTTTAACAGGGGCTCCACTTCTGAGTGGATCCACACACAGAGAATGCCTGTAAGGAAACAGCGCTACACAAAGAGCCACGGAGTGAACACGAAGGCACGGCTGCCAAGAACCCCGTCAAACAACATCCTCGCCCCATGACATGTTTCTTCCTGCTCCGAAGTGTTGGCGCGAGACCTCCTGAGCCCCCAGGCTTGGGAATTCCAGAGTCACCCTAACTCACAGATGAGGTGACTGTCACAGGAACTGAGTGGCTTGCGAAACACATGAAGCCAGTTCAGCAAGAGAAGATCCTTTTTTGATGTATTTATTTTTATCTCCTCTTGCCCTAAAAAGAATTTGATGGCGCCAAGGAATCTTAAGAGAATTATAATTCTGGGGTCTCAAATTTTATGGTCTTCTACATAGGCCTGATTTCAATCGCTATTTCTTCACTCACGTGAATCCAAATCATCAAATTAAAATGATCTATGGGCTAGGAACCATGGGCTCCTGTTGCATTCATTAATTGGGAAAATCTGCTCTATATACCAAATGCCTGGAATATAAAAATGAGAACGCCACATATATTACAGAAAGACACTTGAAACGTGAATCAGCGAGGCCCATATGCCATGTGTCTAGTGTGTAAGCATTGTTTTTTTCTGTTTAAAGACGACACCCTACCCGGGAAGGGCAAGCTTTGGTGAGCTGGAATTCACCAGTTGTGAAATTAATCGTCTGCATGTCGGCGCCAAACCTATAAAGAAAAAAAATGTTTAAAATAGCATTTAAGTTGCCAATAAAGAACAAAAGGTGTGTGCACACATATATATATTTTATATTTGTGAGCACATGTACTTGCACATAAACTACTGTGTCCCAGCCCCCGCACCGTGCCTGTCATACGGTAAGTGCTCAATGATGTGGGCAGCGCGGATGGGAATGTAAAGAAGAATATGGTGACAATGACAAAAGCTCAACCTGTGAAACGATTATTTTCTCTGAATGGTTCCTAACTATGGAACCTGACAGGAAGGGACTCTGAACCAAGGGTCATTTCATCTCCTGGTTTAATGTCCAGTGGACATTTGGCAATGTCTAGAAATATTTTTGGTGTCACAGCTGGGGAGGTCCAACTGGCATCTATTGGGTAGAAGTCAGAGATGCTGCTAAACAGCGTCCGAAGCACAGGCCAGCCCTCCCCCTGCCCCCGACAGAGAATCATCGGGTCCAAAATGTCAATAGTGCTGAAGTTGAAAACCTTAGGATGAGGGTAGGTCCTACTGAACCCAAAGGAAGAAACACTCTAAGCAAAACTGTGATTGTGCGAAAATAAGATATAACAGACATGAACTAACAGTATCCTCATCGTGCCCTGTTTAACTGCACTAGATTGAAATATACCAAAACACTAAACTCATGTCTTATGTGAGCCAGATTCTAGGAGTATTTGTGAAAAATTCATGATTGTCAAGGTTCCCTAACCAGGAAAAGTATAGTCTGCAGGGAAATGGACTTGACGTAGTAACCCTGAAAATGCCAGGTAACAGACAGAATTGGTAATTGCCAACAGGTTATATGCACCAAGGGGCTGGGTGCCCAACGTGCACGGGTTAATACTGAGTGCGCCCACCTGTAGAGTCCAGGCGGCAAGCAGGAAGGACTTGAAATAATTCCGAGTCTGAACGGTGTTTCCCAAACCACCCATCAGAAAGTCTTACCATTTGTGGAGCAGACGCACGGCAGCCTCGGGCTTAGGGTACAAGGAGAGAGGCAGCAGCTGCAAGGACGCCGGCAGAGAGGACGGGTTCTGCACCACGAAGTACTTCACCTGGACACGGGAAAGGAAAATGAGCACCCGGGGCGGACCCAGCACCACCCCTGCAATATTCCTGCGAAGAGCTGCATGACCTGAATGTAGTCACAAGGAGCCACCACACAGATCAAGTTGAGGGACGTTCTAGGAAATAAATGGCCCCCACACTTCAAAAATGCCTATGCCATGGAAGACAAAGAAAGGCCGAGGCAGGTTACAGGAGAGGAGAAAGACTTGACCATGCAAGGTAAGATCCTGAATTGGATCCTGAACCAAGGGGGGAAAACGGCTATAAAGTATGTCGTTGGGATGACTAGACATTTTTGAATATAGACCAAACATTAGATAACATTATTAGGATTAAAGTTACCCTTTCTAATTTTGATAAGTATACTCTGGTATTTAAGATGCACCTGCTCTTAGGAACTTTACACTGACACAATCAGAGGGAAGGGGTATAATGTGTGACACTCAAATGGCTCATAAAAATATATGTGTGGGTGGGCAGAGAAGGGCGATGGCAAGGTAGGCGTGGCAAACATTAAATATGGATTGAGTCTTTGTGAAGGGCAATTGGACGTTCTTGGATTTTCTCTTACAATTGTTCTCTATGTTAAAATTATTTCAAATTTAAAAATTTTAAAAGTAGTCTTAGAATGTCATCCCCAAGGAACCCAGTGAGTGTCTGGTGAAGTCTAAATTACCACTCAGATCATATGTGAGATGTGTCTTTAGCAATGAGGCTTGTGAGGTGGAGTGCAAGCCTGCTGGTGTCACTTCTCTCGCTTTGCACGTGTCACCCTGTCAATGGAACACACACCCAGGAAGGAAGCCCACACTCAGGATGGAGAGCGGACAGGCAGAATGAGCCCGGGCTGCTGAAGGCATCACAGGGCCGCTTCAGCAGCTCTGGACTTCTTCCCCAGGAGCTCCTCGTTATGAAACAAACTAACGCTTATTTAAGTGAATGTTAGTCTGAATTTTCTGTTTTTTGCAGTTGAAGACTTTCTCAACTGAAAAGATTTTTGAGTTGGACACAAACTTCATAAAATGTATTTGTTCTATGCACTTCAGCCTGTGTAGAGTCTTATTCCTTCTTTTGTTCCTCTGATGCCTCCCTACTAAGCATCAGGTGGCACATGTGTGTCATTTAAAGTGAATTTAAGTTAATTTTGTTTCTGAAACAATGTTCTCAAGGTGGAAAGACTAGTGTAACTTAAAAACCCGAGATGGGGTGTCACTGACAAAGAGGTTAGAAGACACAGGCTCCTCACCACGCTGTTCCTAAGGGCAGTTGCGCTGAAGTTCAACACGAGGCCTGGCTCTGTGACCAAACGAGGCAGAAAGAAAACAAAGGATTCTGACTCCTTGGATTTCTTCAAGGGGGCAAACCGCGTCATTCCTAAAACATTCCTCCTGTGTAATTCATAAAGAAAGGCAATATTATAAGAAACAATTTTGACACAAAAGAGAGGAAATCATTAGATATATCATTCCTACTTGAAGGAACAAGCAAGGGGTCTTGGGGAAAAACGGCTTATTCTGGGTCTGGGGAAGAGTAAGCACAAGATGATTCTGGAACAGCCTGTGTTACTAGAAAGCAAGGAAGGTTAAAAAAATAATGGGAGCCTTGGCCAGTGTGGGTAGTTGGTTGGCGCATCATCCTGTACACTGAACGGCTGCAGGTTCAATTCTGGGTCAGGGCACATACCAGGTTCAATCCCCAGTGGGGACATTCACAGAAGGTAACCATTCGATGTTCTCCTTCACATCAGTGTTTCTCTTTCACTCTCTTTCTACTTTCCCCTACCCCCCTTCTCCTCTCTCTAAAATCTGTAAGTATATCCTCAGGTGAGGATTGTTTAAAAAAATGATGAGGACATGTCAAAGAAACCCACAAACTAGCCTGAAGGGGTTCCCATCAGCCAAATCTGGGACAAATTAGCATAAAAAATAATAATGATGCCTAGCCAGTGTGGTTCAGTGGTTGAGTGTGGACCTATGAACCAGAAGGTCACAGTTCAATTCCAGGTCAGGGCACATGTCTGGGTTGCATCTTGATCCCCATTAGGGGGGCATGCAGGAGGCAACCAATTGATGATTCTCTCTCATCATTGATGTTTCTCTCTCTCTCTCACTCTCCCTTCCTCTCTGAAATCAATAAAATATATTATACATATTAAAGTAATAATAATGATAATAATGATCAAAGAAACCATAGTGATGCTCAATAAGAATATAAAAATGAAGAAGATATTTAGAAACATCACCATTTTGTGGCCATCAACTAATAACTGATCAGGACAAGGATTATCAATGAATGCTAAAAGCATGGGTGAAACATTCTTAGGGAACAGTAAATTTATATGATCTCAAATTACCATACATGTATTTATTAACTGCAAAAGGAAATATACATATCAACAATGGAGAAAGATCTGTCACATCTACAAAGGAGAGAGTCAAATGACTCAACTTAGCAATGTCAGTAATGGACAAATTGGTATCCTTCCTGAGGTGATGAAATGATAAGGACACAAGACCAACCAAGTACTTAGCACTCTTCCCAAAAATGCCTAACATGAATGTAAACTTGAGAAAGTAATAAAAAAAATCCAAAGTGTTGAACATTCTATAAGATAACTTGTAAGGACTCTTAAAATGTGAACATTATGAAAGTTGAAGAAAGGTGGAGACACTGTTCCAAAGAAAATTAAGGAAACAGACAACCCAATGCAATGCATGATCCTTGAATAGATCCTGGACTTTAAAAAAGGAAAAAGAAAAAGACAGCTATAACAGGTATTTGTGGGTGAACTAGGGAAATCTGAATAGAGACTGATATTAGATGGTATAATTGGATCAATGTTAAGTTTGTTTGGTATGTAATGGCAGTGTAGTAATATGTACCAGAATATTCACCTTAGGAAAGAAAGTATTTCCTAATAAAGTATTGAGGGTTGAAGTATCATGATATCTACAGCTTAAAAAGGTATACATGTTTGTGTGCACATGAACACAGTTACAGATGTAGGGGGGGAAATAAAGCAACTGTAAGATGTGAACCACGGTTGACTCTAAATGCAATACTGTATTTGAGTAGTCACTGCACTATTCTTTCAACTTTCCTGAGGTTTGAAATTTGTCAAAATAAAAAGCTAGAGAGAAATATCAATTACTAAAAATTCAGTGCTGCAAGCTCAACAAAGTAGCATGTAATTGTGTCTCTTTATGCTGAGTAACAGAAATGAAGAAAGGGGAAGACCTACTTGCAGACATCACTGTTTTTAAATTTCTTCCATCTTTCATACAATTTATTTGCAAGTTCAAAATCCACATCCCAGGTAGACTGATCCAGAGAAAGGCTCCCTTCCCAATGAGGATTTTCTAAAAGTGAGATCAGATGTAATGTTTACATTTACAGAAAACACAATGCAACTAGTAAATACTGCCAAGGCTATTGTTAAACTCAAACTGACAGGAGTGTTGAGTTGATGAATGCTCTGTCCTCTGACTGCTTTATTGAAAGTCCCTCTGACTCAATGGCAAATGATAATATATCAAATCAAACAAACATGTATAAAACAAAACTAAATTGGATTATGTAAAGGCAGTAACAGAAAAGACACATGGCTTATGAATACAGCCTGAAACAAGTTGAAATTACACATGGAACATTTTTAATAGCTTTAAATCTAAAACGCTAAGTGTATCCGTGTAAATGCCAGTGATCACTGAAGTCTTTCGGGTTACTGTGTAGAATGCTGATGAAGAAATCCTCAAAAGAGGGCAGAGACCAAGGGCTCAGCCTAGAGAAAGGTTTATATCTATATTTATATTTATATTCATATTTATACTTATAAACTGGCCACTTATTCAGCTTGCTCTCTCTATTTATTCTGTCTTGTCTGTGCTAAAGAACGTATCAGAGTGAACAAGTGAGAATTTCCCCAAAGAAACCTCTGGACTGTAATCCTCTCCTTAGATTGGACATTTCAATAAATCAAAAGGCAGGAACAAAACTGGGAACAGCTTCCACATCAACCCTATGGCCTTCAGTCTCACACAACGACTAGCACCCCCATAGGATGTCTATGCTCCTGTAGCGAAAGTCTTCAAAAGCAAGTCCAAACTACTTTTAATAACTTCTAGTCAACTCTTTGTTTAAAAGAACCGGAATTCGGAATCTTCCCATTTTTCCTGATAGCAAGGTTGCTAGGATGATCAAATAATGTGTTGGAAAAAATCCACAAGGACCTCAGGATGTTTCTGGAGGATTCCTAACAATGTCATGCCATTCTGTTAGGGATCATGCTCTTTAAGAATAGAATATGATGCAATTCCGTTCACAGGACTGATTATCCCATCTACCAATGCTAATTCTCCTCCCTACTTCCCACCCAACCCCCAACTAGAGTTCTACAGAAAGCTCAGGGCAAAATACTTACCTGCTTTTGATTTTCCCATGAAATAATGCATGCCACAATGTGCTATCACTTCAAAACCCAGACTCCCTTCCTAGATTGAAAAGTAATATATGAATAACTTAAAACACAGCACTACACATAAAAATCCTAATGCACTCAAACGCAAAGCAGACATTGGCCTCCACCTAAGTGAACGTCCATTTAACCAGAAGCTAAACCACCAGAAAGTGATTTCTTGGTTCCCTGTAACCCTCAAATGAGAGGTCTGCACTGCCTCTCACAGGGAGGATTCTGTTCAGTAATCATAGTGACAACCACTGGGCCCAAAAGACACCAAGCTGCCTTCAGAATTGAAGATGAAGTTAGTGTCAGGACATTCTCAGTAGGTTTTTTGAAAACTGTACTGGAATCCTTTGAGAAACAGTAAAAAAAAAAATAGGTAACTCCTAAGCTACTCAGGACATTCAAATTAGTGTCCCATTTCCTAGAGGTATGGAAAGCATACACTTGCTACTCCCACCCATACCTGACACCTGCCTGCTCCCTCCCACAGTCCTTTCCTTATAAACATCTCTTGATTAAAAAAAATAAAATTTCTAAGAAATCTTCCCTACTCAAAATATGGGCAAATGGAATTAACTTTACATTTTATTTAGTTTTCAGAAGTCCTACTGTTAGGCTCATAGCTGAACATGAGGCATTTCTATCTATAAAACACCAATGCTAATAAGTGAGAAAAATCATAAAGATGGTTGCATGAATGTCTCATAAAAATTAGAATCCAGAGTTGTAAGAATAGCTTGGATCAAAAAGAAGCAATAACAGTAACTAAATGAAAGGAAAGAAATATTAAGGAAAAAAATGAGACATGTTTAAGATAAGATCTAAATTAAATACCATTTCCTCAGATTTTATAAAGCATTTTCTTCCTTGCCAGCCCTTTCAGGCTTTAGATTTGGTCCACTGAAGACATTCAAGGATTATGAGCAGCTGAGAGTCACTTACCAGAGGTCCAAATAAAGATTTAACCATCTTATTTATCTCAATTGCAAGTATGTGCTCAGAGCTCAATTGTGTTTTCTATAGCAAGCACACATCCCTTGCTCTACAAATTTTGGAAATAAATGAAAAATGAAATCAACCTACTTGTGATGTTTTATTTCACTCAAGAACCTCAAATTTCTTTATGAAAAATTGTAACTCCAAATAAAGATTTCTACATATAAAAAATTCACCATCTATGATTGGTCTGGTAATATATATCCTTCAAGAGTCTTAAAGAATATGCGCTTAAGTTAGTCAATAAAACCAAGCACTACAACTTAATAGAAATAATAATTATGACAAAAATTATAATACATATATAGCTTCATGAACGATACCTTGGTCGGTGCAGAGTAAATCTGTAGAGGTATAGCAAACATAGCACCTATGTTTGTAGTCAAAAATACATTGGTGAATAGATTTATGGCAATGTTTTTAACAGCAACTTTCAAAGAAAATATATTCCAACAGCCTGGAGGTAGAAATAAAGGGCCAGTGAAATTCAGAATCTAAAGACAAAAAAAAAGAAGCAAGAGAAATTACTTTCCTAACACTAATGAGGATTAAAATCATTATAAAGTATAATACTAAAATTCTATACTTTGAGAAATATAATTTTACTCAATTATTTCCAGGTCAAAAATTGAACTATTTGTATATAAATGATAGGCTTCAAATAATGTTTAAAATGCAACTGTTTGTAAATTTCACAAAAGTAACTATAATTTTCATAGGCGGTATTTTGCAAAAACCTACTCTTTTATTATGAACTGGGCTTATTTTTACTAAATACAATCTTTTTAGTATAAATTACATATAATAAAATGTTTTAATAATGGTAAGAGAAAATATCTCTAAGAATATACCCTGGTCCCTTTGAGGTCCTTGAACAATAGTTTAGAAAAGAGAGAGATCAATCCTAAAAGTAATTCTGAAAACTTCAAAAGAAAAATACTTGCTTTAAAATTTGTAAGTATTAACTTTTGTAAATATTCATTTCATAGTATCTGACCATAAACAAAGCTTGAAATAAAATGGGCTAAAACCTGGATGAAAATACCATGTGTACCTTCAAAAAGTGCTTGGCCTCCTTGGAGACAAACACATCGTTTAATACGACACTGCGGTCAAAATGGTTGAGGTACCACATTGTCCAAACACCCGAAGTGTTCTCATGGGTCTCCAAGTGGAACTGGGCCGCAGAAGAGTCCATTCTAAAGTACCTGTGAACACAGCACGTGCATGCTCTCAGCCCCGAGAGTAAGACAACTGCCGGCATTCGAAGGAGCCTCAATCACAAAAAGAGTAGCATCATAGAATGTCAGAGAACGGATGTTAGCACTGGTAGCGACCGCACAGGTCACTTCAGCCTTCATTCCCACCAGTAGAGCATCTGAAGGACAGAGGCCGCCAGGCAAAACCAGGACCAGGTGTAGGTGAGAAACATGGCGAGAGGGTTTCTCCTCCCACACCTGGCTGTCTGGCCCAGGGCTGATTTCGTGAACTGAATCATTCACCTTCCTCTTTCCCATTCTGCAAACAACCCCTGTCTCTGGCTGTCAGCGGTGTGAAGGCAAGGAACGCAGCCCAGGGAACCATACTAGCCCTAGTTATATTTTTTAATCATTTCTGAACAAACACACATAACCCATACGACTTCAGGGAACGTGGGGTTGACCTACCCTGGGACCACCGGAGAGGAGAGGCAAGCTGTTAGTGTCGGAGTGTTGTTCGTTTTCTTCGTGACTTCTTTCACGGCACTATCACATGATGGAGCTGTTTTGGGGTATAAAGAAATAAGTGTCAAGTATAATATCTTTTATTTCACTACGCCTAAACAAAAACAAGATATGTATGTCATTTATAACCTTCTAATTATTCCACTGTTTTTGTCTCCATTAAAATCACGCATGAGACATAAATGGGAAAATCCTTTCTCAAACCTTATCTTCTTTCCTGGCTTGCTGCCAATGATCTCAAACAGGGTATCTGCCACCCCAATGTACTCCCCCTTTTATAAACCAACCTCTCACTTCTTTGGGGGAAAAAAGAGTCAATGCACTGAGGCTTTCTTTTAATAAAGATCTGCCTTCACCAAAAGTAAGAGGGAAGCCCACAGGCCTGCCAGAGATGACAGAGGTGATGGCTGAAGCCCAGCTGGGCGGGGTGAGAGGAGCGTGTGGAGGCAAGAGCAGGACAGAAATACAGCCTCAACGATAAGGCGGAGCCTCTCAGAGGCAGTGGGGATGCGTTTCAGACACCGCTGCTTTATCCAAGCAACAAGCTGCCCTTGAGCTGGGCCATACTATTCATTAAATCACTGGGATTGAAATCTTAACTCTAATAAAGGGTGTCCCAAAATTCACGCAAGAAGTAATTTTGATAGAAAACACAGGTTTATAATTAAAAATTGTACATTCTTTATTGATTCATAAAGTAAACAGTATAGGGTTATGTATGAATAGCATATCGGGTAAACTGGATTATCATGTCACGATAGCGAGCACCATTAACTGTTATTGCCTAAGCAGCCGCATTTTCAAAGAAGAATGGTTTGATGATGCCTCCAGCCCAAAATCCGCACCAAACAGTGACACGTTGTAGATGCATTTGTTTCTTAACAATCACTCACGGATTTTCTGAACCCCAAGTGCGACAATTTTGTCGATTAACCAAGCCATCAAGATAAAAATGAACCTCATTGAAATTCAGCCACATTTACGCAAAACGGTCATGGAAAATTTCAACAAAAGAGTGCATATGTGCCAGCAAAGCCATGGAGGCCATTTACCCGATATCCTACTCCATACATAACCCTATACTGTATACTTTATGAATCAATAAAAAATTTACAATTTTTAATTATAAACCTGTGTTTTCCATCAAAATTACTTCTTGCATGAATTTTGGGACACCCTTTACAAATACTCAACTGGTTTCTTTTTAAGCTATATGTATGATAAGAAAAATTATAACATGAATAAAGATGTGAAAATTAAATCTACTTTTCCCTCCTGACTTCCCAATTATCTCAGAGGAACAGCTGCTAATAGATTCATGAGCATCCTTCCAGTTTTTTTATTTCGTATACAAGTGCATGGATTCCCTTAAAGACCCAAATGTACACACGCCGCCTTCACTGCATGTCCACATATGCTTTTCAATAGCCACAGAGTATACCCCGTGGATGGTAACCAGGCTCCTATCACGGATGTCTATGTTAGTTCTGTTGTCACAAACAATGCACATTCTGTAGGCAGAGCTTTGAATATAACCTATCCATAGATAAGTTCCTAGAAGTAGAATTAAGGACTGAAGAATACATACGGGCATTTTAAATGTTCATAGATTGCCAATTTTCCCTCCAAAAAAAAACACACACACACACACACACACAAAAAAGCCTGTGTCAATTTATACTCTTATCAAAAACATGAATGGTGTTTTTTCCCCTAATCATTATCAACACAGGATGTTAACAATTTTTTTTTTATCAATCTAAGTAATAAATTATATCTCACTTGTCCCTTTAAATTCACTTTCCTTTCCATATAAGTGACATGTTTTCATGTTTAAAAATCCATTTGCATTTCTTTTTAAAAAATATCTTTTCATTTATTTTATTTCATTATATTTTTTAGAGAGAGAAAGGAAGGGAGAGGGAGAAACATATTTGAGAGAGAAACATTGATTGGCTGCCTCCTGAATGGCGCCCACTGAGGATCGAGCCCACAACATGGGCATGTACCCTGATCGGAAATCAAACCAGCAACCTCTTGGTGCATGGGTGACACTCAACCACTGAGCCACACTGGCTGTGCTGTTTGCATTTCTTTACAGAAATCTTCTTAACTATGAGTATGAGCCAAAAGGTAGGATTGGGTTCATGCTCACCAGACCTTCTGCATCGCAGTCTACACAAAGCATCAAACTAAGGCAGCACAATCTCTCTATCTGTGAAGGGAGTATCTCCAAACACATTTACATTCTGGTCTTTCAAATCCCCCACTAAATTACTCTTTAAACTCAAAATCCTCTGCGTGTGGCAGAATAGAAGTGGCAGAGACAAGCATCTTCTCCATCCTGCTCTCAGCGCGATGAAGGCTGAGGTATGGAGAGCAAGCCCACTCCCTTAGAACACTGCCTTCTCTGCATTGCTAAGTGCTTCCACAGAAAGAACTGCCATCGATAACAAACATAAGAAGGCAATCTCCACTATTTTTAAAATCTGTACCTTTGCAAGTAAAAGAGGCAATTTTTGTAAAGTTCGTTGTAGAGGAAGGTAGGAGCACCGGTTCAAACTGCAGAGACAGAGCGTCTCTCTGTGAGAAATGATGGACATCCTGTAACAACAGCAAAAAATCCAGTTAGCACTCTCGGCCAGGCCACTGTGCATCTAATTTGAATCAACTCTGTGAAATAACTAAGGAGCTCAGACTGGCATTCATATAGCAACTGCGCAGCACATGTGTCTACAACAGTACGAAGCGGGTGCTGACAACCTTCATCCGAATAGGGGTTCAAGCAAGGGAAAGGGGGTTGCAATGAAAGCAACAGAGAATAGAGATAAGTGTTTCTGTATCTGTCCCTGAAAATTCCTCATGTTCTACAATGAAATACACTTGTAAGTTTAATATTTACTAGATATAAAGCATTTACAATTACCTGTATCCATATAAGGCTGTTTCCTGAATGTAATATATACATATTTACGGCCGAATCATCTGTCCAAAAGAATCAGAGTGAGGAGGTTAAAACAAAAAGTACCTCGTTTTGCAACACTACAATTGAAACTTGGAGCTATTTCTGCAGGGTGTTCTTTTAAGTCACAAGAAAAAGGATCCTTACAAAATATTAACCTACCAGCACAGCCTCTGTAAATGATAAACAAATGCTGAGTGTAGGGTCGGGGCACTGCTCCTCTGGCTGCAGCCAACTGCCTGGACAGCTGCAAATATGGCTTTGCTCTCCTGGTGATTAGTCAGCCCCTCGTTTCCTTATTTAGGCAACCGTACTTGGGGGAAATAAAACCCTGGGGTCTCAAACCAGAGCCTTCCTTCCAAGCCTCACCAACAGACGTGCTCCCTATGGGGCAGGAGTCTTCTCTACTTTGATGTCTACCTGGCCGTTCTGAGAATCACCAAAAGCTTGCAACATGGAGACAGGGAAGCTCTCCTGCTGAATTATTCCTATAATCAATTCTCAAGCGTTGTTTGAACAACAATAGGCTGCCAATATCAAACTATATTTTGGAGCCATTTCTTTCTCTGAATATGTATGTGAGTGTGTGGGTGTACACACACATACACACACACACACACACACACACACACACACACGTGTACCAGAACAGTCTTGACAACCAATGGATGACAGCCAGTCCTACATTATAAATCTCATGCATCCCATAATATGTGTCTCCAACAAAACTTCCTAGAAACTTAAACTGATGAACTAGGTTATTTCTGGTAGGTAGAGCTGTTTTCAAAAATAAAATTCATAGAACAAACACTGAAATTCCTATTGCTCTAACTTGTCAGGCATCAAGGAACAACCAGTATCCCATCAACTACTAAAAAAATACAAAACAGCAGGATTTGGTCAACTGAGCTTCTGCAAATCAGTAAAACTGGAACAAGAGGCACAAAACTCCCAACACTGTGTGGATCTTTATATTAGGTCATTGTGCCCAGAATGCCAAGGAGAATGATTCCCAAGGAAACTTAGACTAGTTTGCTTTTGCCCCTAAATTTACTCCAAAAATTTACTCACAGCTGCAAATTGAGAACCAGTTACTATTACAATCGCTTAATAAGGTTGAAAGCCGCAGCTCTTTGTGTTGGAGTGTGATGACACGATCTATAAGTAAATGTTGTAGAATGATGACGCAGGTTAATCATAATATATTACCGTGAAAACCTGAAGAGATTCCACCTTACCTGAGGTCTCAGATTTATCTGTAGCTACATAAATTATAGAAAGATGATCTAACAAATCCTGTGTGTTTTGTTCAAATTCTTTCGAGGCGTTTTCCATTGTTACAATTATGCTCATCTGTAGCTGTAAAACATCATCGGATTCCAGATAACAACTCTGGGATTGGAGGGATGGAAAAAAGGAAAAACTTAAGAATGATCTGAACTTGGTGATCTCAAATTTTAAGGGGAAAAGCACTTAAGGTTAGGGCATGTGTACTTCGGAGAACAGAATGTGTTGTTTTATTTTTTATATCTAAGCAAAGAGGCAGGAGAAAAAACTAAATTTTTTCATTTTACCTTTAATCGCTGACACACTTTGTTATGTAAACTGCATTCCAGTTGCACCTGCAAGAGGCTAGTATTAGTGGTTTCTGCCTAAAAAAAAAAAAAAAGGTGGGGGGGGAAACAATGTAAAAGAAAGCAAAAAGATCAATCTAGCATTAGCAGCAGACAATCTATCATTTATTCAGGAACTACATTTACTCAACTGACAAACATTTGAGTATCTGCTAACTGCTGGGTATTATTCTACTTACTGGAAATATAACCATCAATAAAACAGTTCACATTCTAATGAAAGTCATAAGCTTTCCCCTTGGGCAACATGAAAATTCTGACTATGGCAATAAACAGATAAATGTGGTCTAGATATACACAGGAACACTGCAGTTTGACATCGCTGATACTTTTTTAACACTCTTTTTCCACATAGGAGTCTACTTTTATTTTAAAGTAGGTTCAGTAAGCAATAGCCAATTAACTGTCCTGTCTGCCTCCCTTCAGTAGAATGACCTTAAAAGCTATGACAAAACCGTAGGAGATGTCCAAAATTCAACTGGCTATCATTCCTTTTTATTTTTCCATTACAATTGACATTCAATATTATTTTGTATTAGTTTCATGTGTACAGCACAGTTAAACAGTTACCAGTAAAAAGTGATCTAAGTCCAGTGTGTACCAGACACCACAGTATTACAATATTATTGACTATATTTCCTATGCTGGACTCAGCATCCCCATGACTATTGTGTAATTACCAATTTGCACTTCTTACACCCTTCACCTTTTTCTTCACCAACCCCTCCACCAACCCTCCCCATCTGGCAATCATCACTTTGTTCTCTGTATCTATAAATCTGTTTCTGTTTTGTTTTTCATTTATTTTGTTCTTCAGATTCCCCATATAAGTGAAATCACATAGTATTTGTCTTTTTCTGCCTGACTTATTTCACTTAGCATAATACATTCTAGGTCTATCCATGCTGTTGCAAATGGTAATATTTCATTCTTTTTTAAAAATATATTTTTTTATTGATTCCAGAGAGGAAGGGAGAGGGAGTGAGAGATGAAAACATCAATGATGAGAGAGAATCATTGATGGACTGCCTCCTACACACCCCTTACTGGGGATTAAGCCCACAACCCGGGCATGTGCCCCTGACCAGAATTGAACCCAGGACCCTTCAGTCCAGAGGCTGACACTCTCCACTGAACCAAACTGGCTAGGGCTATTTCATTCCTTTTTATGGCTGAGTAATATTCCATTTTATAGATGTGCCAGTTCTTTTTTTCAATGTTTTTATTGATTGAAAGAGAAAGGAAGAGGGAGAGAGAAACACTGATGAGAGGGAAACACTGGTTGCCTCCTACATGCTCCTTGTTTGAATTGAGCCCACAACCTGGGCGTGTGCCCTGATTGAGAATGGAACCAGTGACCTCTCGGTGCATGGGACAATGTTCAACCAACTGAGCACACTGGCCACATCTTCTTCAGCCAATCATCCACTGATGGGCAGTTACGTTACTTCCATATCTTGGCTCTTGTAAATAATACTGGTTCCATATGCACTTGAAAAAAAAATGTATATTCTGCTGCTTTGGGGTGAAATGCTCTAAAAATATCAATTAAATCCATCTGGTCCAATGTGTCACTTAAGGCCACTGTTTTCTTGTTGATTTCTTGTCTGGAAGGTCTATCCATTGATGACAATAGGTTGATAAAGTCCCCTACTAAGACTGTATTACTGTCATATGTCATATTTTTAATATGTGGGAGAGTTAAGAATGGAAGGGTCAAGAATATATCAAAAGAATGCAGAATTTTTCCCTAGCCAGTGTTGCTCAGTGGTTGGAGAGTTGGCCCATGCAATGAGGAGTCAAGAGTTCAATTCCTGGTCAAGGTTTGATCCCCAGCTCCGTTGGGGCGGGTGCAGGAGACAACCAATGGATCTGTTTCTCTCATATCAATGTTTCTCTCTCTCTCTCTCTCTCTCTCTCTCTCTCTCTCTCTCTCTCTCTCTCTCTCTCTCTCTTCCTCCCCCTCCCTCTCTCCCACTGTCTCTGAAAATCAACAGAAAGATATCCTCTGGTGAGTATTAACAAACAAAAAAAGGGAAGAAGAACACATTTTTCATCACATTCAATGATCTTAACAGGCACATGAGATGACATGGACTTATCTTGAAGATGGGAAATGCAAAGTCCCATCCAGGGGTACGGGCTTTTGGGTGGGAGGGCAGGGGGCTGCAGGCGGTGAACGCACGGAAAATGTGCGGCGTGTGAGTCTAAGGGGCCTGGTTTCGGGAGTTCCTCTTCTCTTGAGTTTGATGTGTCTGGTGTAGTTTTGCACGAAGGTACTGGGCTGGGCAGCCACAGTCAGACACCAGAAAATCTCCACCAGGTAAGAAGGCATTCTCCAAATCCTTGGCTGACTTAACTGAGGGTAAGTGTCTAGTTACTTCAGGAGGATTTCGTACAAAGTAGAATCACCCTAATTATGTTTAATTTGTTAGATTTATAAGCATTACCTAAGTACATTATATAAAAACCCATTTTGTAACTACTTCAATTGTCATTCAGTCAATTAAAGTACAGAAAAAATAAAGTAGATTACATTTTAGAATGCCGTAAAAATATTTAAGTTTAACCCAGCTTGTAAATGGGACCAAGCATTCACCAACAGCTCTTTTAAAGAAGTAATTGCTGGTATTTGCTAGACTTAAACAGGAAAACACCCTGTGAACCAGAACCTAAAATCTTAAAGAAACATTTTTTAATTTGTCTTTCTGGGAACAAATCCCACTATCAAAGACATAAACAACAACAAACAGCCCACCACTTCTCTGAAATTGCTTTCACCAAAGTTACAAAAGACCTCCATAGCCAAACCCAATGGAAACTTCTTTTTTTGCCAGATCCTGCTCTCCCACTTAACTCCATTAACCATTTGTCCTTCTGGCTTTTCCCTTTCATCTTTGGCTCGTCCCATTATGACCATCAGATGTTGGAATTATTCTGGATTCTGTCTTTTGTCCTCTTCACTCTCTCCCTAAGTGGGTCTATGACAAGTTGAAGTTTGTTTTTCCAGCTCAGACCTCTCTGCACACCCATACATCCAACCAATGGTGTGGCATCCGCCTAGACACGCCTCCCTCACACAGGCCAAGGCAGCGAACCTTGCTGTGCATTGGCCCCCTCTTAGCACCATGCTTCATATTTTGTTTAAGCCAGAAACTTGAAAACCAACTTCACATTCTCACTTACCTTCCTCAAACTAACCCCAAACCATCTTATACTGATTGTACCTCCTTGTCAGTCTTTGAATCCATTCCGTTCTCTTCATTCCTAATACCCTAAAGATCAGGGGTCAGCAAACTATGCCCATGGGCCACATCCAGCCCGCTGCCTGTATTTATAAATAAAGTTTTATTGGAACACAGGCATGCTCATTCCTTGTGAATTGTCTATGGCTGCTGTCCTGTTACAATGGCAGGGTTGAGTACTTGCAACAGGGTCTATGGCCTGCAAAGGAGGTAAAAATAACTACTCTCCAGGCCTTTATGTAAAAGTTTATGGAGCCCTTGCCCTAGTGGGAGGGAGGGAGGGACAGAGGCAGGTAGGCTGCTGCACCAACCTCCTCCTCCTGTCCCTGTGTCCACCTCTGCCCTCTCCACTCCACTGTCCACATGGCATCAAGAGTGAGAGGACAGCCAAACCGGTTTGGCTCAGTGGATAGAACGTCAGCCTGTGGACTGAAGGGTCTCAAGTTCGATTCCGGTCAAGGGCATATACCTTGGTTGCGGGCACATCCCCAGTAGGGGGTGTGCAGGAGGCAGCTGATCGATCTCTCTTATCGATGTTTCTAACTCTCTATCCCTCTCCCTTCTTCTCTGTAAAAAATCAATAAAATATATTTTTAAACAAAAAGAGTGAGAGGACATAAGAGGGTACAGGGAGAGTAAATGATGACGGAAGGAGACTTGACTTGCAGTGGTGAGCACACTACAATATACAGATGATATATTATAGAATTGTACACCTGAAATCTATATAATTTTAATAACCAATATCAACCCAATAAATTCAATGAAAAGGGGGGGGGAGAGATTATAAATATGCAAATCAGGTCAAGCTACTTATCTGTTTAAAACCCTTCAAAGACTTCCTGCTTGGCCCAAATCCCAAACCCTTTATTGCAGCTACAGAATGCAGGCACCTGCCTAGTCTCTGCCTCCTTGCCTATGCTCCAGCCTCACGGGTAGACTTTCTGCTCTATTTTGCCTTCAAACTTTGAACCTACATTTCCGACCGGCCTTCCCCTCTACATAGCTAAACCCAATTCATCCTTCGTGTCCCAGCTTAAACATCACTCAGGGAAGTTTTCCCTGACACCTCAGCTGGGGTAAGTGGCATTACTCACACCCACAGCACCTTTCACCTGACCTTCGTTAACACTCCTCATGTGATAACTTGCTCAAGGTCTGTGTTCCCCAGCAGACTGTAAGCACCTTGTCTGAAGGGTTTAACCACAATGCCTACCACTTAATCGGCACTCAATATACAGCTGGTGAATGAAGAAAAGTGGGCACACAGCTACATGCTTGCTTCAAAGGGAAAGAAACTAAAAATAATAAACATGGGCTATAAAATCAAAGTATATCAAAACCTGATATTTGGCATGTTTCTGATCTAAAACTTTTCAAAAAGCTTTAAAGAAAAACCCACATCAGCACACTCTCAACATATCTATAATAATAAAAGTGCAATATGCTAATTAGACCAGATGTCCTTCCAGACGAAGCCGGGGCTGCAAGGAAAGCCCGGGTCCCGGATGCCAGAGGGAAGCCGGTGCCAGCAGCTGGGGGAAGGAAGGCCAACTCTTGAAAGAATTTCGTGCGTTGGGCCTCTAGTACATTTATAATTAAGTTGGGGTTTTATAATGTACAACAATTTAACCATAGATCTTAACCTGGCAAGGCAACTCTCTTCCCTAACATATTTCTTCAAATGTTGAAATAATGTCCGAAGTTCAAAATTATAATTTTAGACATGATTAAAAATCCTGTTTGCACAGTAATTTGATGTAATTTAAATCCTCATGTTCTGTCATCCTTGGTACATTTCTGGATGGATGAGTTTATAATTTACCGTTCTAAATAAGATTCTTCTATTAGCTGGAAACAAAAACAAACATAAAGCACTATATTGTTTCAATGGCTGTAGGACATATTTCAGCATCCCACCAGGGGGAGTTCCAGCACCTCCAAACTGCCCTGGAAGCAGGCTAACTTTTCTCAGGCAAATTTAAAGGTTCGTGTCTTCCTTTACAGAAAGACAAAAAAAAACCCAAAAAACTATTGCAATCTAGACTTTAAAAAGAAAACGACAACCCAAAGCACGAGCCAGTTGGGGCCACCACACATGCTGGGAATAAGAATTCCCCTGAAAGGACCCCAACCGAGCACATTTGTTGTGACAGGAGGACACCTCCTTACCTAGGAGTGTGCTGAGCAGATTATAAAAGAAACACAAAACCCATTTCTCTACTGTTGAAACCTCCCACACTATTTGGAAAAAAAATTAAGTTCATAAAGAAGAAAAAGAGTTCATAAATTTCATAGCTAAGAGAAAAAATAATTCCTTCGTAGTTTTCACATTAAGTCTATGGGGATAAGTGACTTATCAAAGGGTCCTCAGGTTAGTTGGGGGAAAATGAAAACAATAGCAGTTCTTTTGGCACAAGTCAGTGTTTTTCCAGGTAAATAAGAACAGACCAAGTCAATTCCTCTTAGATACTTAAAAGCCTGAAAGTTCTTCAGCATGGAAACACATATTAGAAAACCATGCCAAGAAATACTGCAAAGGACAAGAAAACAGCTATGTAAAAGCTCCTTTTGTGTGGCTTGTATTCCCTAGGTTTTGTGGTGAAGGGGTATGAGTCTAGGTAACTGGATCTAAGAGAGAAAATAAATCACCTTCCTTTATTTGCTAAGAAATTGTTCTTTGTGGACTGGGCTAGGGCCAGAGTGTGACCTGGGGGGACTGTGTGCAATGAAGCAGGAAAAAAAAAGGACAGACAATGTATATGAGTTTTATTAATAAAAGTAAACCATATCCTAACAAAAGTATACGAGAACCTATAACATATGAACCCAGACAGAATGAACAACGTATGACGATCCCAGTAATGACCATCCATGAAAACCTTCCATATAAGGACTATAACTTGGGAAATACAAAAGAATTACTTAGAAAAGTCCCAATCTTAGGTTCCATTTTTCTCACACATTTTTCTCCACTCCCACAATTTTGAATGCTAAATTTCGGACGTCTTTATAAAGGTAAATTGTTTATGCCAATGTGTGCCTCAATAGGGACACAGTTTAAGCCAGTGGCCCACACACACAGTGCTAGGTACAATACATTCCATACAGCAAATGATTTTGTATAGAAAGAACACTTTCTTGGGTCCCTTCCACACAACACTCAGGCTCTGTAACCAAACTCCTAATTTAGTGTTTCCTGCATAACAAACAGGCAGCTGAGCGAACAGTAAGCACTGTTTGTTGCTTTAACCTTATGTTAAACAGCAATTGTGTTTCAACCCTTACCCCTGCCACTGCTAACCCCTCTAGTCCTCAGGTATTTAACTGCTGGAATGAAATTTACCTATGTTGCCAGACCCCCTCCCTAAAATGTTTGTAAAATACCCAGGTATTGGCTGGATTGCGTTTTTTTTTGTTTTGTTTCGTTAAGGGAAAGGGGGTTAAAGCATGTGTATGGCATTTTCGCTTCTCCAAATCTTTGGAGAAAAGGCAGTGTGGCCAAATGACTGTATTCACCATAAATTCAAGATGAAACCCAGCCACAAGACCTCGGGGACATTTCTACGCTTTTCCCAGGTTCAGCTTCCTCTTCAATCACACAGAACTAAGGAACTCACCGTCATCTGAAGAGCATTAAATGAGATACATATGCCCAGCGCAGGGCACACACCAGGCCCTCATGAGGGAGTGTTACTATTTTTACTTGTTCATTCATTATTAATGCATTAGGTTGGTAAAATTCCACAACAAATCATCTAAATGCCTCTGGGAAGCATTTTATCCACATGTAATGTGTTAGAGGGGGAAACTCCTCTTCCCCACACCACGGGTTTCTAAGAGAAGGGATTGTTCTCCTAAACCAGTGGTTCTCAACCTTGGCTGCACATTCGAATCACCTGGGAATCTTTTTAAAATCCTGATGTCTGGGCCTTACCCTCCGGAAATTCTGTTTCTTTGTTACTAATGTTGTGGCCACAACATTAGTAACAAAGAAACAGAATTTCCGGAGGATGAGGCCCAGACATCAGAATTTTAAAAAGATTCCCAGGTGATTCGAATGTGCAGCCAAGGTTGAGAACCACTGTCCTAAACACTTCAGATTCCTTTCATCTTATTTCACTGTTGGTTCAGAACCCAAGAAGAGAGAGAAATGTCGTTGCAGCACATCACCTCCCACCCCACTGAATGTGCCACTAACCCTGAAAGATCAACAAAGAGCCATACAGAGACCAAATTAACACTCCGATACTGAGACTGTTGGTGGGACCAAGTAGCAGTGGCCTGTGTCTTCACACTTGGGTGGCTTGAACTCCTACAGCCTGGGCTGGCACCTGCAGGGAGCCATGCGGATGTTCACCTTGGTGGGCCACGCAGCGCACGGTGGTTCTGTCCAAAGGCGAACAGCTATTTTTACCCAGTTGGATGCTGCTGGGCCTTAAGCCAACGGCAAGTGGCTCCTGAAGGTCTGGCTCAGCCCTTGAACCTGGGCCCAGGCTCAGCAAAGGCTCAGGTGTGAAGATGCAGGCTGCTGTGGCTCGACCTTGTGCAGCAAAGGCGCAGCTTTGACCTAAGTAGGCATGGCCATGGCAAGGATGAGGCTATGAAAGGAAGGCTGTTGCAGAAGAAATCAGTGTGGTGGTTCCTCAGAAGATTAAACATACAGCTACACCAAAGTAACAGGAGGGGCACAGACAGTTACGTGTACACCCCCAATTCATAGCATTTCACACAACCGTCAAAACGTGGAAGCAACCCAACATCCATCAATGGAAGAATGAGTAAACAGCACACAGTGTACACACACAATGGACTATTATTCAGTCTGAAAAGGGAAGGAAATTCGGACACACGCTACAACAGGGATGAACCTTGAAGACATTACGCTCAGTGACGTAAGCCAGTCACAATGGGACAAATAGCGTGTGATTCCACTTCTAGGAGAAGGCCTAGAAGAGCCAAATTCATGGAGATGTAAAAAAGAATAATGGTCACGGGGGGCTGAAAGGAGGTGAGAATGGGGAGTCAGGGTTTCGTGGGGACAGAATTTCAGTTTGGGAAGATGAAAAAGGCCAAGAGATGGGTGGTGGTGACGGCTGCGCAACACTGTGAATGTACTGAATGCCCCTGAACTGTACACTTAGAAATGGTGAAAACAGTAAATTCATGTTCTGTCTATTTTACCGCAGGAAAAGAAAATGAAAGGAAAAGGGAGAAAGGAGAAGGAAAAGGGGGGTGGGTGGGAGAAAAAGGTATCGCTAATCAGGACTCCCTCAAGACAGAGCTTCCAGAATACCACTTGCTGCTTTTCTATCTGGGTCTCAGGGAAACTACGGGGTCCACCTCCTGGCAGGCAATGTAGACAGGCTGCTCCTGATTCGTTCCCTTTTCATGCATTGGCTTCACAGCTGAGAGTCCAAATTGTGAAAGGGTGCAGCTCAAATTCAAGAGGTTGGTTCGTTGACTCAAAAGTTCCTCCCCAATTCACTGGCGCTAGATTTATGAACCATCTAAATGCTGACCACCATTTTAGATTTTCAAGATCCAACGCGACAGAGCCACATAAAGGTGACTGATGTTATAAATAAATAAAAAAACAATAAGGGTAGTCTTACTAAAGAGATATGCTGTCACGCTGGGTTGAGTCAGAGAAGGAATTTGACAAAACGATGGCACAAACAAATTAGATACCACTAAGGCAGTGGTTCCCCACCTTCCTAATGCCGCGACCCTTTAATACAGTTCCTCATGTTGTGGTGACCCCCAATTTCATTGTGACAAATTGAACATCATTAAAGCATAGTGATTAATCACAAAAACAATATGTAATTATATATGTGTTTTCCGATGGTCTTAGGCGACCCCTGTGAAAGGGTCGTTCGACCCCCAAAGGGGTCGCGACCCACAGGTTGAGAACCGCTGCACTAAGGTCTGCCCTTGGAACCATCAGGTTCATTCTGAAAACCAAGGAGGTGCCAGAAGGTTAGAGGAACATACTTTTCACACTTGAGTCTTCCTACTAGGCCCAGAGGAACAAAAACCAAAAAAAAAAAAAAAAAAAAGGAAGGCAGGCTGATGACGCAGGAGGAAGCGAGGGCAGCCCTTTGGAGGAAAAGCGGATGTTTTAGGGGACAACCAGACAGAGCCGGAATAGAACAGGGGACCTGGATGGCCCGGTTCCACAGACATAGAAAGAGAAGCGAGACAGCCTGGGATCTCACTGAAATGAGGAAATACATATCTTTGTGCTTGTAGGAGCTTAACAAAATACTAGTAAGGAAGACAGGCAATTTTGCTACAGGAAAAGAAAATAAAAGAAAAAGGGAGAAATTAGACTGAAATTGCTCCCCAAAGAGGAATTAGGATTCAGTTCCAGGAACTATGGAGGGACAGACTTCTAAAGCCAGGCACAGAGCCCATGGGAAGGGTGACCAAGGACCTGTACCTTCCAAGACCAAGACCCAAGGCCACGTAAGATCTCACAGGCTGTGAAGGGGAGACCAGGGAGAGCAGAGCAGAGAGTTCAGAGCAGGGCAAGATGAATGCACAGTTCCTGCTGGTGCCCTAAGGGAATATGTTTGATGTTCATGGGATTAGACTCCAACGAAGAGAAAGCACAGCACAGAAGAAACCCATTAAAGGGGAACCAGGCAGGACTGGATAGACGGGTCCCAGGCCTGATTCAGGGGTTGGTCTAATGGGAGAGGTCTATGCAAGACGGTGCACTGAGGGAAGAGGAGATCTGTTTGAACAACAGATACTTTTAGCAGACTCAAAAGTTACTGACTTTATCTTTCTTGCTTTGGGAGAACTCACAAGAAAACATCTAGAGGGGAATGAATATATATAACACAGTAGCAGCTTACAAGGGTTAAGAGAAAGAAAGAGACCAACAAAAGAAGCTGGTTAAACAGCTCGAAACTCAACTGAGCCTTCCTAAGAGGAAGAGGGGCCCAGGGGGTAAGAGCACATCCTGGAGGCCCAGCCCACGACTTTAGAGAAAGAAGGGCCATGAACAACCTGGGGAGATAGGGAGTGACTCACGGCCAAGGTCTACCCGCCCAGGGCCTGAGCTCCTAACGTATCAACAGCAGCCCTCCCTCCAGGAACCTGCTGGGAGCAATGATCCACTTGAAATAAGGGGGGGAGGAAGGAAAAGCCTTCCCTGTCACAGGCTCCAGAGCTTCAACGAGTCCACAGCAAGAGGCTCAACATCTGTGCGCACCGCCTCTGCAGCCACTCCATCCCTAAACAGAGGGCAGCCCCAATCAGCACACCAATCGGCACGGGGTGGGGGGTGGGGTAAAACAAGGGCTCTGTGCCAAAAGGAGGGAGAGACACACCTGGGGACTAGCCTGCAGCCACTCCAAAGTTCGAGCTCCGGAGGCTAGAGCAGCTCAGATGCTGCTTCCTGAGACAGGAACTAATGTGCACAGGTGATTCCTCCCTAACCCCCAAAGGTCTCAAATTAACTTCTTCACAAGCAGGCGACTCCATCAAGTTCAAATGCCAAGATCCTGGACTCAGAACAACTGGCATGAATTGAAGCTGAAACCAAGGTGATGCTCTCTGTCTGTCCTCCATCCCTCTCTTTGGCAAACAGAGGTACTGGGAACAATTTTTGCTTAGAATTAGTACCTCGAGAGTGGGGGCTGGGGGCATGCTTTCCAAAATGGGTGGATGTTAGGTTGATAATCTTGTATCTTATTAAGATTCTAGACTCAAGTGAGGCTAAAGAGACACTTAGTATTGGACTACTGTAACTTCTCAAACCCCAAGGCAGTCATCCACACTCTAGCAAGAGCGAGCCCAGGCTATAGCTGCTGAGCTTTCCCCAGCTACACACAGGCATGGAGCATCTCTCTGGCAAAGACAAAAAATAAAAATAAAAAATAAGATTTAGAGAGGACTTCAAATTCTTTGAACGTTAACTCACAAGCCAAGCTAATTTGATATTGGGACTATGGCCTTGAACTTTCATGTCTTACCAAAGTACTGACTCTCTGAATTTTAAAATTCTCCTAGAGGGTTTGTATTTGTTTTAAAGTTAAATGAGGAATGTGCTTTAGCTATGTGCCAGGTACTAGTTCTAAGCACTTTACATGTATCAACTTATTCAATAGATATAGCAATCCTATGAGATCGTGCTACTTTTATCTAATTTTATAGATAAACTAAGAAACAGCAGGTTAGGTAATTTGGCCAAGGTCACTCAGAACCAAGATGGCCTGATGGCCTGGTTTCAGAACTCACCTTTTTTATTTTTAATCTTTATTGTTGAAAGTGTTACATATGTCCCCCTTTTCCCTCCACTGACCCCTTCTAGGCCATCCCCACCCCCAGAATTCATCTTCTTATTTGCCACCCTGTGCCTGTCTCTGACAGGGCATCCTCCTATGGCTGTTTTTACTGGAGCATTTTAACTGCTATTTGGTCCCAGAGCAAATGCTCTGATAGGCTGCACTGGCTATCATACTTGGAAAGAATTTGGGATGGGAAACAGAGAACATGACCTTTCAACCCTGGGGACAGTGTGGCTTTGGAGCAGATTATTAATGAATTCTTCTTAATTCGTCGTCTCAGAACTTTCTAGAGGCAAACTCAACAGTGTGCCCCAGCAGTCTCGGGGGGATCAACAAACAAATGGGGGTGTGGTGCTCCTGGGAGATGGGACAGGCTCAGGAAGGTGGACACACAGCCATGGGACATCTGAGGACCTCCTCATCAGAGAAGGGAGGATCGCAGGCTTAGGAACAGGCGAGCCCAGTGGGTCAGGAGAAACTAGGAGGAAAGGATTCTCTTCCCCTAAATACTCCAGTCCTCTTGCCCCAAGCCCTCTTCTCCTCTCAAGACAGAGGGAGTTGCCTATTGGTGGGCAACAGAAAGCGATCCTGTGCCATAGGCAGGGGTGACGAGGGGGGAGCTAGTCGAGGAGCTGGCTCCTTTCTCCTTCACCCTGCACCTTGGGTAAGGGTGTCTGTCCTTGATTCTCCAGCTTCCCTTGCATGGGCCACTCCATGGTGTACCTAGGAGATAGGGCATTAGCAACTCTGGCTCTTTCTTACCTCAGCTCATGCAGAAGAATGCAGCTTATCAGTAATAAAAAGGTGCATTTTAGTTCTCTAAAACTTCAGCACCTGGCCAGAAAGAGAGGTACTAATTATCGGGCATCTTCAAGTCATCTAACAACATTTTCTAGAATATTCTAATATAATGAATGTTTGAAAGACATCAGAAAACAATCATATCATATAATTTCATAAATAGCTAAGATAATAATTTCTTTCTTTTAAAGACATTTATTCAGCCCTGGCCAATTTTTCTCAGTGGTTAGAGCATCAGCCCAAGAACCGA